AATTTAATCCGATGGATCACTTTTTCACATTAAGGCTTTTGTTTAAGATTTTTTTTAAATCCACGAGAACTTAAATTATAATATCAAACAATGTGTTGACAATCAACAATCAGTCAGTAGAAATGAGTGGCAGAAAGGAAAATCACAATACTATATCTCTGGGGCAGTATACTGTACAAGTACAATATTACACCCCTTACAGCAAGTCAATTTTTATACACCTACCATAAAAATACATTTATGTACGCCAACCTGGAATGCCGGCAATTAATATTGATAATATTGATTATATGATAATACATTAAGTATTATAACTATACTGACCAGTATTGTAACATAGTGACAATGTGTGTTGTTGTCCTTGTTCATAGCTGTTATGTCTATTCCAGTGTAAGTACATTGAGAGCAATGAAAAAGTGAGTCTAGATTCCTTCTGTACTTCCATTTTCCACTGTGTAAGAAAAGAGGAAGATCTGCAGCTACCAAACCAGACGCTCAAGCTCTGTACAGAGGGATGACAGAAAACCACTGGAGGTTTCTAATATCAGGCTTCTTATAAAGGCCACAGCCCCATTTCCTCCACAAATGGAAACAAAGCTCATGCACAGCCTCAGGAGCAGGGGATTCGCTTGTAGAGTGACAGAGGGCATGGGTTACATGGGGTCTATCTATCCATAGTCCTGTATTTAAAGAACTGTTGCATCATAAAACAAACAATTCTCTGAATGTGTGCAGAAATCATTTATGAGCCTGAGACTAACAAGCACAGTTTGGTCAATACTTTTAATACACAGGGGAACACAGTTACTAAAAACAAAGCACCTTTGATATGTGAATAAATAGGTAGAAAAATCTACCAGCCAAAGGGATACACCAGCAAATGTATTCCAGGAAACTCTAATATTTCACTCTTTATCTATACTGTCTTAAATGTGTAATAACACTTGTAAAAAAAATATTGATCATTGATTGATTTTTTCTTTTTCTTTTGAGTCTTTCTCTGGCTGGAAAGGCCTCTTCAGACCTCAAACCTGTAATGTCAGTATGTCTGTCACCCACAAGGCACCACATCACTGAATGTGTGACCACCTTGCCCGTGGCAAGGCTACAGAGTGTGTGGACCTTGTTAGAGGTTGCACACTGTCCTTCAGGCTTTGAAGAAGTGTTCAGGTGTCAATGGCATAAAGACAGTGGAGCCCAGCCCACAGCTCTCCACTGCGCTGCATGTGATTCAGCACATTTAAACCACACCAACATGATAATAAAAAAGTGTCATGGCATACACCAATCTGCTTCAGACCTAAGATGCACAGCTTTGGATTGCCAGCGAACATATAAGACATCTAACAAGAGCAAATGTATGAGGAAAAGCACACAACCATTTGATTGTTTGTATGTTCATGGTTGAAAATGATTACTTGTGCTGATTCAGAGGTCCACTAAAGCTGCTTGTTCACAGACACAAGACAATATTATGCTGCCCTGCAAAGAAGTGGATGTATACACACCATGTGTACTAACAACAGGTGAAGTGGGAGGTCAGCATGAACACAGGAAGAAGCTGATAATCATGATCATGTTCAGTCTTGTCCTATTCAATATACCTGTTTCCTCGGCTCATCAATGCTAGCTGTGAATCTGTTGAATAATCAAAACTGAAAGTGTAGGAAAATCCAAACAAACTAATAAGACACAATGTCAGCTACAGTACACAGTCACTATTACTGCTGACAGTTAATAACCATGAAGATCGAATTAGCCGGTGGTTTCACTTTTAAGCCCTCGGTAAATTAAGCAAGGCTGGGGAAGAAAAGCATATCTATCCTAACTCTTTCACCATTATAAACCACCCTCACCCTATCACTGCCTTCACAACCACGGGAATTATTATCCAGGAGGTTTAATTCCGCACAAAGAGGTGGCCCAGTCAGGGTGGGGCGTAGACACAACCCGGGCAGTGCACATGAAACCTATGTTGCCATCTTATGGTTAATTTAGAAGCAAGAGAATAATCTGCAAGGCACAACATTAGTAAATTTAGTACCCTAACAACACAGTTCAGCAACAACATTTGCTATTATCCTGAAAACGTACCTGGCAGTTAACGTTAATGTTAGCTAGAGTTTTTCTATTGTTCATATTTTCAACTAGCTACCAACTTATTTCGCCTAGGCTTTCAGCTAAGCAGCGAATTTAGTCGGCGGAAGATAAAGACAACGTACGTTAAGATAAGTGTGGCTTCGGCCTTGTCCACTGCTCATATTGAGCTGTCAAACCCAGGCGAGGCGGTGACAGCGTCACAGGCTGACTAAAGTTAGCAACCTTTAGCTGTTAGCATTAGCCTCTTGGTCAAAAAATAATTGGTCATCAAATGCATCTGTTGCCTTGCAAGCTAGCCACAACAGTAGCACTAGCATAAAAAGCAAGCAGTGGATAGATTTAGCCACGTAAGATGAAGTCAGAGGATGATAACCATCTTGCTAGCGTGTTAGCTAATGTTAGCCAGCTAACGCTCCTGATCACCGACGATCCCACAGTGACTAACGTTACACCAGCTAGCTAGCATCCACCAGTAACGTTAGCCTTGGTTCTTACCTGCCCGATAAAAAGAAATCACGTCCCTCAGGTAGATCCAATTGTGCTTGATGTGTGAGACAGAGATTCAGTCTGTATTTACAGACATACTTTAAAGGGCAATCCTTCACATTAACGATAATAACCGTCCCTGCCGCTCGGCGTGGTTGCTAACGTTACAGCTGTCTCCGCCCCTTTCCGGTTTAAAAAACCCAACTAACCCTCCCCATTTTACTGTAAACATTACACTTTATTATGTTTATGCTCATCTAACCCTACCAATCCTGTTATTAACATTAACATTACACTAAACACTTTAACAGCATTTATTTATTTGTATAGTATCACAATGAGCCAGACATTAGCAACCATTAATTAACGTTAGCTTGTCTTGTAAATAAATAAATGTCACGATACAAATGAAATATTAGCGTGAAACGAACTCAATAAACATGTGAATGATATGAAATAGTCTAATAGCTTCTATAAAATAATTACCTCCTAAATAAAGTGTAAGTGGGCTGGGAAAGAAATGAAAAGAGGGTCAAGTGGGGATGACAATAGTAAAGGCAATATACAGTAAACCCATCCCAAGCGCCATCTACTGTAGAGACACCATTGGCATACAGTCCACAAAATAATCCTGTGTCATCCCTCCAGCTTCAAAAATGTGTTTTGTGGAATAGATAATATAATTTTAAGACAATGAGTGTTTCCTACTTGGGATTTATATTTTCCCCTTCCTCTGTTTTTAGTGATATGTATTTAAAAATATACAATTTGCTTAATTTTAAGTTGACAGGAGGAAAACAAGAAAGAAAGACATGGGGGAACAATACTGACATTATAAATAATACATATACATTCGTAATAATCAATACTACTTAAATTGATGGAACAACAAAAAATCAAAAAGTCAAAAATACAAGATGGGCCATAATTTTTAATAAAGATCATGTCACAATACATAAAAATGCCTTTATAAGTTAAAATTTAGACACCATTAGTCATTTTTAAGTGATAATTAAAATGTTGGATTTTTAAATAAGAATGATACAAAGTATGAAAAAATAAAGTAAAACAAAAAATCCCAAAATAAAGTCAAAGATATTACGTAATACATCGAAATGTGGATTTTTAAAAAATGATTATGAAAGGGTCAGTTCATAAGTCAGAGTGGAAAAGGATGGGGCTGTAACCTAAGTAACAATGTCACAAAATTATGAAATATAAGTCAAAAGTTTGACGTAGTTACTATCTTTTAATTGTGGATTTAAAAGTAAAAAGTTTGACTTAAACTGCTTTGATTGTCACTTTCCCCCCTCATAATTCAAATTCTGTATCTCATATAGACGCCTTCACCGGATGCATTGGCAAGGTGACGCGCCCGGCCCGAAGTTAACTTCCGTTCTGTTTGTTTATCACTGGGTTTGTGTTTACTGGCTATATCCAGTACAGTGTTTCCCATACATTCATTTATTTGTGGTGGCGCTGACTGCCACATATTGATTTCCGGTGTTTTTTTTACTATATAAGATGGGAAAACCTTTATTTGATTGCAGAGCTGCACGCAGCGCATATTCACTCAGCACCTCCTCTCTCTCTCTCTCTCTCTCTCTCTCTCTCTCTCTTTCTCTCTCTCAATACAATTCAAATTAGCTTTATTGGCATGAATGTAATAACAACATTGCCAAAGCATCATATATACACAACATAAGAACAATCAATCTCTCTCTCTCTCTCTCTCTCTCTCCCGCAAACACATTGACAGCGGACCAGTCTGTGTATTGAATGGTTAGTATCCTGAACATCGCTGCACAAATCCGTCCGCGCTCATTCTGTGGGAAACACTGCGGTAAATCAGACAGGTCGGTAGAAAAACATTCTTGCCTCAAATTTTTGTTCAACGGGTCTGCTAGTGTGACCTTATCACATTTCAGTTTGGTAAGTAAGTAACGTTTCTTTTTTTCGACTGGCAGCTAAGTTTATTTACATAGACTGTATATAAAAAGGTTATTTACTTGTTATGGATTGCTTGCGGAAGTCTGCCGGAAGTTAAGTTTGGGCCAGAGTAATGCACATGCGCAGTACCGTTTGTTTATGTTGTTACCGTTGAAAGCGTCTATAATTTGACGTAAAAAAAACCAAAAACATTTTCACTTATTACTCTTATAATTTTGACTCACCAAGAGCGTATTCATTTTTATCATTTCAATAGTTATTCCATATTTTCTGCTGAATTTTACACATAATTTCAGGTACATATGGGCCTTTAGAATATTACTACATAATGTAAAGTTATAATAACTCATTAAAAGCCCCACATCAGTACCTACAGGAAAAAACTCAGCATCAATATATCTGTAATACTTGATTTGGCCAAGAGGGGACGCCAAAACTCCATAAAGTTGACAAGGAGCATGCTTTTATTTTGAAAGTCACGCTCGATGGGCACGAGCTGCTTGAGTCCTTGTAGTTGAGGTCAGCCGGAGACCCGCGTGAGCTACTGGGAGTCTGTGGAGGTAACCTCAAAATGAACCGGCGATATCCTTCATACTTTGAGCTTGTCACATTCTATTACAAAAGAATCAGCCAGATTGATTGTTTTTTTTATTTGTTAGACTGTTTAATTGAAGCTGGTTTAATACTGCTAGCTGTTATTAGCCTGTTAGATAAGTTAGCCGTTAGCTGCTCAACCAGGCCAATAACAGTTGGGTGCTATCATTTTCTAATCATGTGCTAATATGATTAACCCGACAGACTGTTTCAGAGCTGGGCTGCTGCTTTTATTCCAGTCAGCGTCCCTGAAATCTTAAAACTCTTGAAAGAAACAGCTCATTTATGTCGGCAGAATTTACTGGTATTGTGCTAATGTTACTCAATGAAAGCCAAAACTTTAGGTATTTCAGTCTTTGTTGTGAAGTATTGATATAAAATGGGTATTATCAAGACAAGGCTAGTTTATTTTTATAGCACATACGCATTTAACAGTGCTTCACATGCAGTGAAACAAACAAAATTGAAGAGAATAATACAAATTAAAATAGAAAAGTGATATAAAATGCAATACCATAACATAGAAGTAGACAAGACATGCAGTAATATATTTCCCCAATAAAGCATAGACATGTACAGTATAAAAGTGGTGTAACATTAGTGTCTTATACTTTGCACTCTTATTAATGTGTTATTAAAAAGTTTTATTAAGGTAGAAAGAGTGCAAAACTAGTTGGAATCTAGATTGCTAGTGGTTTAATGCAGATGTTCAAGAGGAGAAAATGAATTGACCTGATCCCTGCCTATTTAGTATTGTTATTGTTTACTTGTCAGTAGCATAAAATAGCCATATTTTGAGGCTATCTGCAAACTACCCTGATGTTATATATTCATGTTTACAAAGTGCAAGCTGAAAGTTTGAGAACATTTGAAGAGACACAAAACTGTAATATTACTAAATGTGCAATGTTAGACAAAGATTCAACATTTTGTGAGGGTAAGACTTGGCATCAAATTGGATAATCAACCATGTGATGAGCCACGTGGGTCTCTCATGCAAACTTAATTGGATGTTGCATGTTGTCTCCTCAGTTGGATATGCAGCAGCTCAAAAGATGTGGTCCTGCAGTGAGTGACTATGTTTAGAGAGAACAACAGTATGTTTGCTGATAAATTGAAAGATAAAGTCTCTAATTTTCGCATGTATATAATGTATGTATAAAGGTTTGGGAATACTCTCATACCTTTTGGTGGGTGTCGTAGCTTTGGCAGTCTGTTAGTTCTTTCATAGATATTTTTCATGTAAGTAATAATTGGGAATGAAACATTTTGTGTAATTGGGAAGTATTTTAACAATATATATTTTAACAATATGTAAGTGTTTCATTACTCCTACTCTACTCAGGTTTGGCAAGCATTGCCACTCGCACATACTGTGTCACAGAGGCTTTATGTAATAACTTCTTTATATCCCCTCCTTAGCGCCCAAGGTTAAATCCTTGCATGTTACTCAGTCCTGTCATCCTCCTCAGGTACAGCAAGAATGGTGATGAAGATAAGAAAGTTGCTAAGTCATGGATAGGCCGCCACAATGACACATGAGACCCTTACAAGCTCCCAGCTGTCTGTCAAGGCTGCTGCCCTGCGCATGGTCGACTTGCCACTCTCCGTGTACAGCTCTCTGGCACAGGTGAGGGTGTGTTTGAAAGTGGTGGGAGTTGGTCAACAGCTTTGTAATTGGGAGTTGTTACTGTTTTTTATATCTGTCTTTGAAACATTGGCTGTGTTCCTGTTTCTATTTTTTCCTCATACTTGCTATTAATAATACTCTACATCAAAAGATCCACACTGTCTCACAACTTGGCTCGCTGCTATTTAACAGTTAACTTTTGTCCATAATAGATCTGCAACGATCATTTGATTAGTCGTTCGAAAGAAAATGAATAGATAGAATAACTATTTTGATAATCGATTAATCGTTTAATTTTTTACGCAAAAACGTGAAAAATTTGCTGGTTTCATGATCATAATCTGAGATATTCAATAATGAGTTCACAATTGAAATATCAATATCAAATACATATGAAAATAATCAATAAATAATAGAAACTCATTCTGCCAGTAGAAATGTTCTTGTGCCGACTCATTTCTCTAAAAACATATTTCCTCATTTCTTCTCTCCTTGCATAATTTCCTTTCATCTGTGGCAGAGTGAGTGAGTGAGTTGTCTGAAGGTCAGATTTAATTGAATTTAGCAAAACTCTGTTGTAAGTGTTCACTCTAAGCTGGTTAGGAGAGCCTGTGGCTACATCTGTTTAGAAGTACAGTACTACCTGTTTGAGCAGCTCAGCTCTTCCAACTAAAGGCTTTGTGTATGATATGGGTGAAGAGTAAGGACAGCCAAAACTCAGTGTCTGGCTCACTATGAGCATGTTAATACTGTTCTGTTAATCACACTAGAAGCTTTACTTAAGAAAAGAACGATTTTAAATGTATGTTTTTAAAAAGATCTTTCTGAAAGGGAAAAAATCCAAATGGATGCGTGTCTGTGAAGACGCTCAGTCATCCAGGTCATAGTTATCCAAGGAAGGTCATGTTGTAGCACTTCACAGTAACATGTCCCTCATGTTGTTGTGTTTATGAGGAGAGTGTCTGGCCCGAGTCACGTAGCACATCTGCTATCTCCAAGAATCTGGTAGGAGCATGCCTGACATGTAGTGGTAGCAGGAAAGGAAACAGCACGAAAACAATGCAAGCCTGTATCACCATTTAATCGTCAAGCCCATTTAGTGGCTTTTTGAAAAAGTCAATATTATGGCTGTTGTCATAGCTCCACACTCTCTATTATGTAATCTTCAGTTGTTGGGAATGTGCAGCAGCGGTGTCTGTGGATAATCTACTTCGCTATTCAGTGTTTCTATCTATAGACGGTTGGGGGCTTCACATGCTATCTGAAATTGGATTCTTTAAAATCTAGGTGACAGGCTGCTAGCTGATTCGCAACGCTGCTTGTTATGTCATCAGCGTCGATGATATTTTGAGTTATGCATCTTTAGATGTCAGGAAATGTATTCTCTCAAGTGCTGTATTTCTTTCTGTTGTTTTTTCTCACCTTTTGTGCTGTTTATCACCATCACTGTTTAATGGAAACATTATAGATACCCCAATTTCAGAATTTCAAGGATAAATCCAACCTTGTGTACTATATCATTGACCTCTGTTGTTATTTTGATAACTAGCTGTTGGTTGGTACTCAGTTGTAATGATTATATTTTTTTCCCGGTCTGTCTTATACAGTATCTCACACCCCTCACATTTTTGTACAATTAATCAATAGTATCAAAACCGCAATATGACCAAGTGCAATATCCAAATTGCACAAGCTGCAATTATTTGAATGCAAAATGTGACAAAAGAGCATTATAATGTAAGTACTGTAAGTGCTGCCTACAAATCTTCTTCTCCAGATGTACAGGTTGGGACAGACCCCAACAAATGTCACATCATCATGGTTTTAATATTTTTTTCACTGAAAATGAAAATTGTGATGCCAAAATAATCATTCCCACTAATCATGAATGATATTGCGATTGCCATATCTTTCAGAATAATTGCTAATTTGATAAAAACATTTTTACCGTATGGTGCGAGGTAACCACTCGGGCCACCAAGTTTCAGGGATGCGATCATTTAATAACAAGATGTGAAGGTACAAAGGAACATGAGCCCTGCCCAGACTAACCAAGTAGAGAAGAAATCAATATGTTTCTCAGGCTTATTTTATATACACAAAAACATTTAACTTCTCTTTACTTGTCCCCCAGGTGAGTGTCAGCACAGGCACCAAGAAGCTGGTAGCAGCCACTGCCTTTGGCGCTGCTTCGCTTCTCTTCCTTGCACGCCACTTCCAGAGGAGGAAGGGCAGAAAGAAGGCTCTCTCACCTCAGTGGGAGCAGGATGGCTTTGAGCTTCTCTCCCCGGCCTCAGCAGAGAACGGTATAACTTTCTGACGCTGTGATGTTTGTTTCCTCTCAACCAGCAGCTCACTGGCCTGTTAGCTCCATTTGGTATGTTAGCCCAGTTGCTGGTGTAATCAGCCTGACGCGTTAGGCTGCTCCTGTATTAGCGTTTACTGTAAACTACGGGCTCCAGATAAATGCTTTAATCTCCCTTTAGATTTACCACTGATTAGAGTCCCAAAGATTATTACATTAACAGAAATGCAGGATTGAACGGAGTTGAATGAGCAGCTGGCCAGGGCAATTCAATCTTTAAATAGGTTGATTGATGTTTGACTGCTTTATATATGGACCAAGTTTAATACAGGGGAGTATATTTGTCAGGTTTCAGAAGAAATTGTCTGTGAACCCAGAAGCACGACTCAGTGACAGGCAATATACAAAGTTCAGGTTTACTTGGTCTGAGCAGGCAAGGGTCAGAATACCAGGTAAATCAGCCTAAAAACTCCAAGCAGGCAGGCAGGAGATGCAACGTCCAAAAACCAGGCAAACAGGGTCGAGCACGAGCAGGTCATGCACAATCGAATACAGAACAATGCTGGTTAGCTTGGCTGGAGACACTAGACAATCCGGCGGGGAGCAAGTAAAAGCGGCTGGAGCTAACTGGGGGAAAATGAGCTGCAGGTGAGGAGATGGGGGGGGATAACCAGGTGAGGGGAGTGGGGGTGATGGCCGTAAAGGAGGACGAACTGGAATCTGAAATGACACAGACCAACCGCCTAGAGGTTCATGAGCTAGGAGAATTCGGCACATTTGCCACACCAATTCTGTATCTGTACACCAGTTAATCTAACACATGTGATAATATCTGATTTAATAAACTCTTGTTAATGCTAGATTGTGACCCAGGGTGAGAATTACACAGGAATCAACATGCAATGCAATGCAAATGCAAACCGAAGTGCTGAGTGACCTGAGTGGCTACTAACATTTTGAGACGCTTACATGTTTATTGCTTTTTCTTCAAACCTTGTCCCTGCTGGTGTGTGGCCTATGTTCCCAGAAAAGGTTACTTATGCAGTCGTAGTCATTAAACACGGCATATCCACGGTGTAATCCTGCTACACTCTCATTTAGGGTGATCAGTGTATTCTGATCTTTCTCTTAAACATTATTACTCTCAACTCTCATCTTTATCTGGCCAGATAACACCAGTCAAAACATCACTCTCTCCCTCAACTCCAAGAATGGCTACTCCTCTGGTCTGGTTGTCGCCACAGGAGACTACAGAAAACTGCCTGGGTCTCTGCTGAACCTGGCCTCGGTAAGACAAAGGCATGGTTTTAACGGAAAGACTACTAAGTTAGTAGATATTTTTATTTAAAATATCAAAACCCAGATACATATCTGCAATAACAAAGGACATTTTTAAGAAACAAAAGTAGATGCTCTGTAGATAGGGTTGATTGTATAGGGTGAACCATAAACCTTGCACGTGTGATTTGCAGTTAATAAGAAAAATGTGCAGATGTCGGTTTCACCACGGCTTTTCAAGACTAATGAGTACACCAAATTACAAACATTGTGTAGGCCTACGTCTATACACTTAGCAATGAAAACGCAGCTGAAATGCTGAGTTGATGGCGTTGACCTGCACTGGGTTTGTTGTAAGATGCTGCTTCCACTGCTTGAAAGTCAACGTCTGCTGTGTCTCTACAGGTAAAAAGCATGAACTCATCCAGCAGCAGTACCTGCGCAAATGAATCCACCTGTTGGGACAGAGTGGGGGAAGCTGATGTCTGCAGTGTGGTCAACTTACCTGTCACCACACCTGAAAACCTGTACCTTATGGGTAAAGACAGTTGCACACTACCTCACCTCACTTTGTTAAATAATAAATGCGTTGAAATGATGGAAGTATTGAGTCCGTCATACATCTCTACATTTCTTGTAATAATTGTTTTATGGTGGGTTGTTTTTGTTTCAAAATGGAGCTACTGAGCTCTTGATTGTTTTAGGAGGCTCAGATTTTGTGTGTGTGCGCAGGTATGGATTTATTTGAGGAGGCCCTAAGGCGGTGGGAGGAAGCGTTGACATTCAGGAGCAGGCAGGGCGAGGACGATGCCAGCTGTGCATCTGTCAAAACAGAAGCTGGAGACGTCATCGCTGAGCGGAGCATGGAGGTAAACACGCAGAAACACACTCATCATTGAAAGATATAATTTGCTTATATTTCACACCAATTCATGCCTTAATTTGGGTATAGAGGTGAAGGAGTTGTAGGAGACTGTAAATGAGTTTAACTTGGAATGTCCGCACTCCTGTCTGTGCATCCTTGTATACCAAAGGAAGGTAGAGAAGAATGTACTGCCCACAAAAACTGCACTACAGGCCCTATGGATGAATAACCAGCACTCTGACAACCCACCAATGTCACGGAGTTTGGATTGCGTAACAGCTCACCCATTAGCTCTCTAACCTGGTTGGAAGGGTTTAGATTAGTGCAGGTCAAATAGTTAAGCTCGGGGACCCAAACATTCATCCAGTCTACTGCTCAGTCACGGATAATTCTCAGCAAACAACTGAAAGAGATCTTTGTAGTGAAATAGGGAATTATCATTTTAATGATGATTTAGAATAAACATAACAACATAAACCTGCTATTTACGTTTGTTAGGCCTGTTTTTTAATCATCACAATCAACTGCATTCACTTGAATTAGTTTATTATGTTAGGACCTGGCTTTGTGAGCCATATTTCAATGTCTTTGTGTTCAGGGCGTCATCAGCACAGAGTTCACCCACAGGCTGAAGTCTCTGCTGCAGAGGGCTTATAGCCTCCAGGAGGAGTTTGAGGGAGTGTTGTGCATGTCAGAGCCCTCATCCCACAGCAGCAGTCACGGTGAGTCACTGATGCAGTATTATGTAATTTCCATGATGCACACAGGATATAATAATATTGTACACCTGTTATGCAACACATTACAAAGATTATTCCCCATCACAGAGAAAATGGCAGACCTTTCGGCCAGAGAGGAGCTGGACGACGCCTGTCTGAGAGACAGCATCAGCATCGCCTCCACTGACTCATTTGTGTCTGCTGCTGAGGTGAGAGAAGCTCTCACCATCATGCTCTGCATAACCACAGGCTGATCCCATGCAACAAAAAATCTCCAAACAACCACTAAGAAAACTTTTGGTGGCAATAATCAAAAAATAACACTGAACTAAACTGCTGAAATAGTAGGTATGATTGATTTAAAAATATCTTCCATTACCAGTCTATTTACAGATAGATGTTGTTAAAGTATAGTATTTGAGTTTATGCAAAGAAGTTTTAAAGTAATTTTTCAGCAGCTTCTCTAACATTTAACGAAAGTAGCACTTCACAGTAACAAATCCGGAGTTATTATATTTTCATCTTTATCTCAGCTAACCAACCATAACAATGTGCTCTTATGCATATTAAAGATGGAATAAGCAATTCTGCAGAAATCCAACACCATGACAAAAACCATGAAATAGAGTGAACGACACAGCAAGACTGCTAATTTAGCTACTAACGTTAGCTAAATTGTGGGTTAGCAAACTGTCGCTACAGAAGCTAATATGCAGAGAGGACAAGACGGTCGCAGAGGCAGCACAGCAGCTCCAGACAGCGTCACTCACAACTCCCCTGCTACTGAAGCTAACATCACAGAACAGTATGTCTTTGAAAACTAGTAAATAAGCTCAATTTCCACAGGCAAGTCAGTTAACATTTCCTGACACAAAAAATCATGGCTGGAATAGTGTTATGCAGCGTGACTTTTGACAAAAAGACATGTTTTGTATTAGAATTGCTCATCCCGCCTTGAATGTAGAATTTGAAAAAAAAACTGTCAAATTCACTGTTTTCATTGATTCTTGTATTGACATCATACAATGGGTTGTTATAACTGAAAAGGTGGGCACAAAACACTGGTGTTCTCCAAAATATCGATATCCATTATTAGGTTGTTAATATAATGTCTTGCAAAATATTCTGGATCATCAGTTAGAAATAATCAGTTGTTGAGATGCAGATGAAATATGGACAAAAAACTATTACTATAATACTACGGTGGAATCTTTAGAAGTGTAGTTAACAGTAGTGTAATAAATAAGATGCTTTGTAATCCCCCAGGTGAGCACCTGAGTTTCCGTAGAAGAGAAACAAGCAAAGATCTAAATCTCAACAAGCCCACAGCGGGAGGTTGATTCAAATAGCTTTGGTCTTCCTGTGAGTTCACCATCCGGTGTTTAGCAGTACTCCGCTTATCTCCTTTTCTCATTAAGTCACTGTGGGGGCTCGAGATGGGAATCCGGTGCTACTGGTGCACTTGACTCACAAAGTACAAAAATAAACTGGTTAAGAATGACTTGTTTACTGAGGCTACAAGCTTCCTTGAAATGAAGGTGAAATGTTCACATAAAGCCCCCCCCCCCCCCACACACTGAAAGCTAAAGGTGCTGTATATATCTACCAGGATTGGGTATTGACATGTACAATACTAATCATTTGACGTAAATAGCTGTTAAGCTATCTGGGACTTAAGCCTGCAGTAAATTCTTCTTTTTAAATAACAGCTTCAAGCAAAGGTGTGTATACCCTCAAACCTGTACAGACCAGTAACTGTCAAGAGCTTGGAGCAGTCAAACTGGATCACTCATACCTCACTATAACGATAAAAGCACACAGATCACACATATCTTAAGAAGTAATCCAGGACATAATGAACCTGCACTTATTTTAGGCGAGCCAAGAAACTTGAGGTTCAACCCCTGATACCAAAGCTGACTCTAATATTCAGCTCCTTGATGAGAATACAGAAGAACAGCGTGTAACGTATAAGCATTATGTCAGGTTTAGCTGTTAGAAAAGATGTCAGAAACAATGAATAAATAAATGTGGGAGCAAAGCAACTATACTGAAAAAATTTTAAACGTAACACTTGTTTTTGCCCTCATTCATCATGAGCTGAACTCAAAGATCTAAGACTTTCTCTATGTACACAAAAGGTCTATTATGGTTCAATTATTATGGTAATATGGTTCATAAATCTGTCAAAATCTGTGTTAGTGAGCACTTCTCCTTTGCCGAGTTAATTCATCCACCTCACAGGTGTAGCATAACAAGATGCTGATCAGACAGCATGGTTATTGCACAGGTGTGCCTTCGGCTGGCCACAATAAAAGGCCTCTCAAAAATATACAATAACAATATACAATCACTGTATTGGGGCGTGGGTTCCGTTGGAGTCCGGAAACCAGTCAGTATCTGTTGTGACCACCATTTGCCTCATTCAGTGCAACACATCTCCTTCGCATAGAGCTGATCAGGTTGTTGATTGTGGCCTGTGGAGTGTTGGTCCACTCATCTTCAATGGCTGTGCGAAGTTGCTGGATATTGACAGGACCTGGAACACGCTCTCGTATCAAGAGCATCCCAAACATGCGCAATAGGTGGGCTGGTGTGGTTACACGTGGTCTGCGGTTGTGAGGCCGGTTGGATGTGCTGCCAAATTCTCTGAAACTCCTTTGGCGACGGCTTATGGTAGAGAAATGAACATTCAATTCAGGACATCAGCTTTGGTGGACATTCCTGCAGTCAGCGTGCCAACTGCACGCTCCCTCAAAACTTGTGACGACTGTGGCATTGTGCTGTGTGATGGAACTGCACATTTTAGAGTGGCCTTTTATTGTGGCCAGACTGAACAGCATCTTGATATGCCACATCTGTGAGGTGGATCGATTATCTCGGCTCACTAACACAGATTTTGACAGATTTGTGAACAATATTTGAGAGAAATAGGCCTTTTGTGTACATAGAGAAAGTCTTAGATCTTTGACTTCAGCTCATGACTTCAGCTCATGATGAATGGGGCCACAAACAAAAGTTGCGTTTATAATTTTGTTTAGCGTACATATGGCTTAATATTAAAGAGTTGTTTTGATGCGCCTCTTCTCTTCAAAGGTTTTGGTGTCAGCCCTCAAAAGCTTTGTGTTTGCATGGATGTTTAAGAATCATAAGAGGACACAGAAGGACATACTGCATTATGAATAAGAGGCGTGACATTCTCTTTCTAGTGGAAAAATCTGTGGGCTCCATTTCGAGATGGTGTACGCATCAAGCCTTCTATCTGAAAGGCATGGGATTTAAATGATCATTGTTCAGTCCATAAAAAAGCTCTGCTTTCTGTCTCTGTATCAGCTGTCGGAGCACAGAGAGCTGAGGAGTGTCTTCCCTCTCGGTCATCACCCTTTCTACGAGGAGGCCCTGCAGATGGCCGAGGATGGCAAGATCTCCTGCAGGGTGCTGCGGTGAGTAGTATAACAAATGTGAAACGCAGAGGACCTACATTCCTGGAACCTGCTGTGTGGAGTTCCTTCATGAGTTCATGTCTGCCAGCATTTTATTCTCGACTTTTTCTTGATTTTCATACTCAGGACAGAGATGCTGGAGTGTCTTGGGGACGTAGATTTCCTGGCCAAGTTGCACTGTGTTCGGCAGGCATGTCAGGTACAGTAGGACCTTATGAACTAAAACACATCATAATAACAGAAATGGAGGACACCCTACTGAAGAAAATCCATGTTAACGTCACTACCCTGGACCACAGTGGGAACCATTTAACTCACTAAATTAAAGCCCCCTGTATGTGCAGAACTTAAATTTTTAACTCCATTTTAAATAAAAGGATCAGGTTATGTAAAATGTTTTGTTTTTTTCTCCAGCTCATTTTGTGCGAGAGAACGACCAGGATGTTTCTGGCTGACACAGGAAAGAAAATACTGTCTTCCATTATTGTTAAAGCACAGAAGGTAAGACTGAATCCACAACTAGTCAAGGATAAGGTGATGCATCTTCAACAAGTGCTTCTCTTCCTAACCGTTATTGTTTGGTTTTCAGAGCCCAAAGAGATTCGAAGAAGAGTTTGAGGAGATGATTTCCTTCCTGGAGCACACAGAGCACTGGGAAAACACAGAGGTGGAGCTGGCCACACGAGGGGTAAGGGTGCTACTTAACCAAATGATTAAACTTCTCCACTATACGACGTCTGATCAGAAAATGGTGCAAACAGGAGTGGACAACCTCTTTTCTTGTGTACTCATCTTCACCAGGTGAAGCACTTGAATTTCTATGACATAGTGCTGGACTTCATCCTGATGGACTCATTTGAGGATCTGGAGAATCCACCAATCTCCATCCTGAACGTGATCAACAACCGGTGGCTCAACAGCTCCTTTAAGGAGACGGTGAGTAAACAAATAAGATACTTCTCTTGGCAATACTTGACAGACATGTACTACTTAGATTATCCTACACCTCAATAACTTAAATGCTGAAAACCAAACAGAAGTAAACATTTAACAGAATAACAACGCTAAGACCTCCCAGACCACAATGGTGATTGCATAGGTGCATATACTGTAAATTGGAGATGATGGCTTGAAAAGGGAAAATAAAAAAGCCAAGTTATAGGCTTATAGTTTTGTGTCTTATTATTTTTAAGGTGGTGCATTACATATTTTGGCTTTTTAAAGATGTTTAATCTGCATGCATTTCACAGGCGGTGGCATCTAGCTGTTGGTCCGTTATGAAGCAGAAGAGACAACACATAAAGGTACAACAAAAGTCCAACAGCTTCAAATAGTTTTCCTGTTGAAATAGCTAGATGCCTTGTTTGATTTTTCTCTCACAATTAATAGACAACATGGCTTACATTTTAATTATTACATGTTTATTAACTGTATTAGTTAAAATGGTCAGGACAGCACATTAACCTCTTTCGGTGTCTCTCAGGTCCCTGATGGCTTCATTGCCCATTTCTACGCTGTGTGTGAACAGATCAGCCCCGTTCTGGCCTGGGGCTTTCTGGGGCCCAAGAGTTCCCTGCACGACCTATGCTGCTTCTTCAAGGTCAGTCTCATCACCAGAAAATGAGGTGATAACATATCTGCCAGTAGCCTCTTCTAAATAGGATTTTTACTTGTGTAGGTGTTTTAATTCTTTAATAATTTATATTAATTTAATAATTCTCAAGTTGTGATCATTTTCAAATGTATTTAAATTGAATTGAAAAAAAGATATGCACCACAATTTAATCAAAATAATTGTTCTTACTAATAATTCTTACTCCAAGGAACTGGTCCCCATACAGTAGATACTAGTAAACTACAAACTCTTGAGGGAAGAATATCTCTGAATGTGTTTTTAAAAAATCTTCAAATATTCAAAATGCCACCCAATTTCATTTAAACAAACCAGAAAGACCCAGCCTGCTCAGTATCCTCACTATGTGTGTGCGCCACAAGAAAATGTTTTCACAAATTGATCTTTTCCGCCAGGATCAGGTGCTGTACTTCCTAAAGGACATTTTTGACCTGGACAAAGTACGTTACTCTTGTGTGGAGAGCCTCGCAGAGGACATGCTCCACCTGTTACACCGCCACTCTGAACTATTGCTGGCGTACCTGGGAGCAGACTCCCTGCTGCACGTCACCAGCTGCAATCCTCCCCAGGTCCAGCTAATGCCCAGTGCCCTGCTGGAGGCGCGAGTGCAGTGAGGAGAGCCAGGGTCATCAAACGCCATACACAGAAATCGCAGAATTTATTCGGCGAGTTCACGCCAACTGTCGGACCGATCACATCTCCTATCCTATTTATGTATTTGAGGAGCCATATAAACTGTACAAGCTGTCTGCCTTCACACTGGATCATTATCTCCTCTCCCCAGCCCCCTTCCATTGTGCCATGGCAGTGCACGTTAGTCTTAAAATATCATAGCAATAATGTGTAAATTAATCTGCTGAGAGACTGGCATTAATTCTCTTGCAGTAGATATTTCGCTGTATAAATTAAGGCATATTTAATGCAGTTAAGAGCACTGTGTGTGAAGAAAATGTACTTTACAATATTTATTTTACTATACAGCTACATTTTATTTTTTAGAAGATGTAGTTTTACATGTACGCATCAATGGATTTGTGATCAGCTTCAAACATGCGTTAGTATGAATACCAGTGTTGTATTAACATCCATCTTAATGAGCATCAGCAATGCAAAACCATTAAATGTACTTGTTTGTTATAAGCATGTTGCACAGGAAGTCCTTGAACAAAGACAGAGAAATCTAAAATGTGTTGATTGGAGTCACAGGGTCAGACTATAAGTTGCTTTTGTGGCCCCCAGACTCAAACCTTCAAGCAATATTTAAAATGAAGCCTGGCACATGCATCTTACAAGGCCCTAATCCCCTTCATACCACCAGCTACAGGAAATAAAATATACAACAGTATTGCATAATCCTACAGCTGTTAAACAAGTTGTGCCACACAGTTTTCATGACATGCAAACGCACAAGCTGCCTTATCATCAATGGACATATTAAAGCCTTTATCAGAGTGTCAGTCTGAAAAACACTGCAATGCAAATTGTCTGCTCTACTGTTCAGTCACTGCCGTGTACAGAACATGCGCAACATGAGCACTTTCAGCAGTGAAGTAAAACTATACTGAAAATGAGTTGAATCCAAAAAGCTAGATGCATATTAATGAGCGCTTTTGCTTTAAGTAGTATTTCTACACGGTATTGTTACTTAGAGCCAAGTTCTGTATAAGAATGCATACTGACATTCAGCTGAAAGCCAATGAGGCCACACAGTCCGAGTTCTGTCTTATCAAGCAGTTCTTCAGTTTGTTTTGGGTTTTTTTTATACCCTCAAAAGTCTTGGTTTCCCATACAGCTGTATTTCAGACTGATGATTGGACAAAATTTTTCCCCATGGGCTCTAGCAACATGGGCTGGGATTTGTTTAAAATATATAGATCAAAATGACTAAGAAAATAACGGCATTAATGGAAATTACTGAACTGCAGTCGCCATAGGTGACACAGAAGGTCTCCAACTTTGGAAGATCCTCATGTTAAAACGGACCAGAATCGGGGATTGACTTGTCTTTAATCATAATCTCATTAGAAAAAGGATCGATGTAGGGCCAGTAGCAGCAGGTTTTTCAATGTACAGATGAGCATGAGTATTGTTTTAAACCAGGTGGCTCTTATTTTAGCAACACAGGGAAGAAGGTTTTAAATTTGAGTTTACATTGTGTGTATAAATTAAGCAAATAGACTGTTCTCTATAATGTAAAATAAAACTTCAAGTCCGGTTATTTGTTACAACTTTATTAATGAACATGGCAACATGTCAAAAGTCAGAACAGTTGATTCAAAAAACAAACCACGAATAGATTTAATATACAAAAACACATGAAACCTTTTACCTCTATAAAAGGCATGCTCCTTGTTTTGTCTTCTACACCCCCCACGAACTGTGTTGAAACACTGAGCATCTCACATGTACATAGTGAACAGCCTCAAACAAACAATGTGACCCTTAAACTACACAGAAGTAGTGACTTTAAGCTGATAACCCCAAATTTACTGCCAATAAAAGTGCATATGTAATTGAAAGTACATTAGTTCCTGTCCTCATCCAACTTTCTAAAGCACATTCCTATTAACTAAAAGGTTATTGAAGGCATTCAAGCGATAAAATAAACCATCAGACAACTCTAAATACACTATGGCATCATGGTTAAGAAACAGTCAATCCGAGCTGGAAAAAACATGTATCTGAACACCACTTTGCAATCACAGAGTTTAAATTTCATTGCGTTGCTTTTTTACCTTATCACTGGAGCTCTTGAACGGTCTACGTTCAGCAGTGGGATAGACTCAAAGGATTCCTCCTTTTGGGGACAAACTACGACAGGGCCTGATTCTATGACCTAAGCTTGCAGCATCCTCCAACACTGTGAGCGAGAAGTGAAGGCAGCAGCGTTTCAATAGCAGATTTGCACTGCACTTGAGGGCAGATTCACACCACGACAGAAATGAAAATGTATTTCACCGTGTTTGACCTAGTACATTGACCTTTGCACATTGCTAACTTCTGACAACAGGTTTGCATGGCATGCAGTTTACTATACCAGTGTCAAAGTTGTCTAAAGCATCGAAATTACAGTCACTGTCAGACTTACCGGGATGCAAAGATAAAGCTATCAATTATTAAGCACAGACGACAATGACAACATTTCCTCAGTGAGCCTATGCAACAACGTTTTCTGGGTAAAGTCATACAGCTCATGTCATGCAGTTCATTCATGAAAGATCTTAAAAAAAGGCTGCTCATACTTAAGATATCCTGGACATTTCTTTATGACTAAGCATAAATGCATTGAGGCATGTTAAAGACACAGGTAAGCATTTCTTTACATGTATATTGGATCATGTCACTGGACAAAAACACTGGTTTCCTTAGGTTTCGCTTACCTGTGTTATTGCAGCAGAACCTAAGGTGCAAGGTCTGGGACGACACTGCAAAGATCAGATATATTGCACTCTTTGCCATCAGTGAACAATGCAGTTTTGCAAGACTTTGTTTTACTTTAAAATTAACAGCCTTTCAACAATGGTGCTCATTCAGAAAATGTCATTATCAGTACTGAACTAGTGAGAAGCTCTTCCACTATAAGCATTCCACATGCTCATATAGGGCATTAAAATAACAGCAGAAACCTAAGCATGCTACACTGAAGTAATGCAGTGGGACTTTTAAGCAATATGTTGCAATAAATGGCATTAACATGACAGTCTCAGCTAGACAATGGCACTTAGCAGGTCAGGAATTCAAAACGCAAAAAAACCACATGGACATCCTTAAACAGTTCCTACCAACAGTGTAACAGAGTGCTGACATTCAAACCCTCAGTTCAGAAATCCAACTGGCACTGAAATGCTACCTACACAAATAGTCTAACAATCTACAAAGTCAACATACTGTAAAAGATTTTAAAGTCTAAATGTTGTGCAGTCAGTAGAATCACACAAGGGGAAATGAGTCTCGGAAACATGGTTCAAGTCTAAAGCACTATTCCTCCCCTCAGAACATTTGATACTTACCCAGAGACATGGGGAAAATGGCAATATTTGACAAAAATACTACATCTTTTGCAGTTTATAAAGCATCAAAAATAGGCGGGTATCTCTCAGTCAGTCACAATTTTGTACTTACAGTATAGGAGGGCTCAACTGATGGATGAAGACTGCTTAGCCACCGACCCTACAACGTCTATTTTCTGATATTGGATAAACACTAACAGAATGGGCACAGCAAAAACGATTTTTGCAATGTTTTTATATTAAAAAAACATTCTTTAAAAAAAAAAATAACAAGTTTATACATGAGTTAGTTCTCAATGGGCAAGACAAACTTTTCAATGCATTTTCCAATACAATGGCAATTTACCTGGCTGTCCTGGAAAAAAACAGCACAAAAAAAGATAACACTAAAAATATGCAACATTTCTTGCAACCACGTTTTCTGAGGAACATGTTAAGAAGAACACTTGCTTACCGCTTTTCTAAACTTGCCTGTGGAGGAGGAAGTGTCTATCAAGGCAAAATACAGTGCATACTACCTCAATGTCAGCAAACCAGGTAAAATTCAAGAGTGCCACAGCAACGCCGTTAATGCATGAGTTACGGGTACACAGAAACCTGACGACTTTCTTATGACAAACATCTGTCTACTGCTAAAGTCAGAGCAATGTGAGCAAACAGAAGTGTAAAAAAAGAAGGTCTATCAACAAGGACGTTTGTTGGTCTGAACCCCTCTGGATCAATGCACGCACATAATGTATCTAAGAGCCTTATAGACAGTTGGAGAGAGACAGGACAGCACATCTTTGAGTCAACCTTTTTGGACAATTAAACCCACACATGGCCTGCATTTGAAACTCCCCACCATAAAACAAAACCAAAAAAAAAAAAAAACATACAGAAACTCATTTTAACCCTTTTAGTTTAAAACCACCCCAACTTACCAACACAGGAGGTTTCAGTTTGTTTTATTGCAAAAACACAACAGGCAATAGCATTTTAAAACTGAGATGATTTACATGGTAATGTCTACAGTTTAATAAACATGACTTCTAACCACATTTAATGTAGATACAGGGCTGGAATGACCATATGTATAATTACCTCACTAAAAACAAAGCATTTACAAGAAAAAGGAAAACAAAAAAAAATTGAAAGAGGACGTGTTCGCCGGGTAATCTGCCATCTATGTGAAACGCTTTCAAACCAAGGAAATTTAAGATCTTCATCAAGGCGTCTGCATCCAAACATTTAACAAAGGATTTTGTTTCGACAATGTAGCATTTACTTTATGTCCACTTCACATTACTGGCCCTGTGCAAAAAAATACATAGAAGATACATTGCATGTTAACAGCAGAAACAGTGGACTCAGCTTCCCAAATTAAAAAGCTTAAAAACCTGTGTAGGGAGGAAATTTGTTTGGTTAAGTTTGTGAAGCTGCTGCAGTGGCTGGAACCCTGTAAAACCTGAGTAAGCAAGGGGGGGTTAGGGCACCAAAAATTTGAGTATTCAGTGGATGTGGAGGGCAGATTCTTATCGGGGATGTACCTGAGGGGCTTGTGGTGCTGCACCCATCGTCTGAGGGTTGGCTGTGCCGTAGTAAGCGGCCTGCTGACGGTAGTACTCCGCCCAAGCAGCGCTGTAGTCTGGCTGGCCTCCAGGCTGGGAAGCTGCTGCTGCCGCTGCTGTGGCCTGAGGGGCCGCTTGACCTGGAGTAAAACAGAGAACCCATTGGTGCACTAGCCAGTCGCAGGTTATTTGATTCTTCTTACGTAAATGCAAAAAGGCAATTTATCTTGTCAATGCATGTTAAGTCTTATGAGCTACAAAACAATTACATGCATTACATATGAAGCTATAACTGTTATGTAACATTTTAACATTTATAAGAAGGGGAACGAACCCACCACCACTTTCTCTGGGTGGCAGGTCAGAAACCTTCTGCTTTTCTCTTGGGCGGCTGAGAGAGCAGGTACTCTAGTACAGAGGGCTGCTAGGGGAGCACAGCCGCCCTGACACATTTAACGTTCACCTCTGCGCTACAGGGGAACACCTCAAAAATTGGACTAAAACAAAAAAAAAAAAATAAAAATACAAAAAATAAAAATACACACTGTACATTATGTTATTCTTTGTCAGAAAGTCAACTCCGTAAAGTAAATGCTCCAAATGACCATTAAATTTATCCATCTATAACCATCACAGTAAACACCATAACGACTTACATATGTCTATAACTAGTTTCTCTATTTACCGATAGACACAGATTAATCTGTTCATTCATGCTTCTATCACATTACTCTGAACACCAGGATCACAATTCATTCCTAAATAATTTGCCTAAACTGCAAACTCTGCACTATTTTATACAGAGGTTTCATGACTGAAATATGATGTAGAGAAGAGAGGGGAGTAAAATGTTCAATGAATTTAGTGTGATAAGAGGAGTACCAACCTTGTTTCTTGTAATACTCCTCCCAGGCTTTCGTGTAGTCCTGAGGTTGTTGACTCTGTTGACCTGCAAAGACAAGGGAATAATGTGTCAATGCATCCACATGTTAAAATGAAAACCAGAAACAAATTTACATTGATCCTACATTGCATAATTTAAACTCTACACACATTCAGTAGCAGTGACACATTCATGGCACATGGGGAAACTCTGCCATTAGTGTTGATAAAGCCCTAAGATAGTCTGGAAAATAAGCTGCTCTAAGCTCATTAAAGGTGGTTCTGTGTCGACAGCTCTGTCCTGCAGATAGTCAAAGTGTTACAGTTTAAACAGCACAGGCGTCAAATGTCAAACCAAGTGGAGGCACACTGATAACGCTCCACAGCAGGCCAGCAATACTGACAAATACCCAGACCTGAAAAAGAAGCCGATTGAGTGCCCAGTAGCTGTTTAGACTGTCTTGTGTTAATAGGTGTACACTGAAGCTACGTTCGTATACCCATTTTCTTGTAATATTCCTCCCAGGCCTTGGAGTAATCTGCCTGTCCACTCTGACCTGCAGCCTGTGGGTCACCTGTTAAAAAAAACGGTACTTGTAATTAGTGAATCATTCTCAGCCGTTTGTCCTCCACCTGCCTGCGTCCAGCTGTCATCCTAGGGGGGAAACTATCCTGTCCCTGGGGTAATATAAAAGTTAAAACAAAAAAAAGGGGTGCTCTGCAAAAGCAAAGTCATGTTTAAAAAAAAATTAAAATAAAAGGGTGAAACCAAACCAACCTGTCTCCTCTGTTAGCGACACCAGAAGACATGAGCACAGGACACTAAAGTAAAGCTAGTAAACTACTCTGCTCTACGCTCATCTTAACAGTTTCTGCTTCTTCTAAAGCGCAGACACTTTTGCTAGTTGAGAAACTTTGTTACCTTGGCCGTTTGTTTGAGTCGTGCCAGGAGCTCCGCTTGTCGGGGTCATGGGAGCCTGCGGCTGCTGGCTGTATTGCGCATAGTAGGCTGCCCACGCTGCTGCGTTGGCATCAGCTGCTGCTTTATCTGGACACAAGCCAGTTTCGTTACCAAAAAAGGCCAAAATAAAAGCTGTTAGCATACAGGTATAACTGCCCATATAATTGCGATGGATCTGAATGTGCAAGCCTGCCAACAGATGACAGGTACTCACTTGGATCCGGCTGTCCTTGTTGCCAGTGTGGGTAGCCATTGCCCCATCCCTGAGGCTGGTACGGTGCAGGTGGACCACTGATGAAAGAACACAAATAATCGTCAACACATTAACTTGTGTCTAAGTATTCTTGTTATTACACAGAGCTTTAAAGATGAGGTAAATACAAATGGCCACTGTACTTACTGTGGTCCTGGAGGGCCCTGGTTGTATGGTCCAGGGTTGTATGGACCCATGGGAGCACCTGGGGGGCCTGGTGGTCCAGGAGGACCATGTGGGCCTGGACCTCCATGTGGACCAGGGGGGCCGTGTGGGCCTCCCATTGGAGTGACTGGTCCCTGAAAACAGAGTCCATGTCAGTAAACCAGCTTATTTAAAAAAGACAAATGTATCCATAGGGGATAATTATCAAACTATGGTGTCGTACCCCAATTTTCTCCTCCACCAGCTGCCTGGCGTAGTCTATCTGTTGAGGGGAGCCCCGAACTGTGAACATTTTGATGTTAGGATCGGCGTTGGGTGGAGGATTCCTCTGTAGCTCGATCCTGGCTCCAGACTGCTGGCTGATGCCCTTGATTGTCTCACCACCTGAAGCGATCAGAAATAAAGATTGAGCACATCAGCCAGATAAACAGACTTAGTGAATTTGCCAGCTGATGTCAAGGTGCCAACAAAAAAAAGGGAGCATTTCCCCTCAAAGAGGTTCACATAACGTCTAAGGCTTCTGTTACAGTTTATGCTCTGCTACACAAATTGTCTTTGCCCTGCTGTTGAGGGGTCATCTTGCCTTTTCCGATGATGAGACCAGTCTTCATCGTCGGGACAGTGAAGGTAAACTCCTGCAGGCCACCAGGGGGGCCCATGTTCCAGTTCCCCTGCCCGCGACCACGACCCCTGCCACCTCCATGTCCTGGAGGCCCACCGGCCTGGACGCTCCTCAGCAAATCGGATATGATTTCTGCGGCGTGCTGAGCCTGATCAGGGGGGCCCATGATCTGGGCTATCCTGTCTGGTGTGCTGCCGTCATCTGCAGCGAGAAGGTCGGTAAGGGACGATCAAGTTTCTGAATTTCTTAAACTTCTCTATCTAGTAAATGACATGTATAAAACTATGGTGTTTCTCCAAAGTCTTTGTATGTGTTCGGGTCTCAGATACTTTAGGGTTAGGGTTATACATCAGCTTTTCAGCGTGGTGCATGAGTTTTCATCACTGACCATACACATTTTCATGTCCAAATGACTTTGCTTTTGGCCACAGTTGTTTGAGTGCTTTTCATTAATGAGCAGTCTCACCTCATCACTCACCTGGTTTAAACTGAATTCGGACGCCTGTGTCATTCTGTATTTTCTTGATCATCTCTCCATTTCTGCCAATGACAATTCCAACTGCAAACCGGGGGACGGGAACCTTCATGGTGACAGAAAACCAAAAGTTAGCAGATTCAAACAAGTGTCTCCAAACTGATAAATTAAAAAAACTCATTTCAAATACTCACATCCAAGCTATCTCCTCCGCCGCCGCCGCCTCCACCTCCAACTCGTGAACCATACTCGCCCCTCTGCTCCCTGAAGCCTTGATCTCTGATTAGCTCCATCACCATCTCTTTGGCTTGCTGAAGACAAAACAAAGAACATCTTATTACAGCAATACTCTACTGGGGTACCGAGAAAGGTTACAAGGCACGTACAAGGACATTAGGGCTTTAGACAGATTTACGACAAAGGGGAGCGAATTAAAGCAGCACTTGCTCCTATACAATTAAAAATAAAATTTATATCTTCATCTATCATGTCACCATGTAATGTTGTGCGATGGTCACATGGATGAGGACCCACCTGAACTTTAAAGGGTTCTCCTGAAATGCGGAGTGGCTTGTCTGCACCTGTGTTTTGGGGTCCGTCTTGGATCATGACCATCTTCACTCCAGCTCTTTCCTGCAGGTAAAGAGAAGAGCCAAAAACATGCATCAGAGTGCGTCTTTGCCAAATGTGTGCCGTGCTTTTAAAAAAAAAAATTAAAAAATTAAAAAAAGACCCCGTATTACACTGCTACTCAAACACTGACTGGACACTCACCTGAAGGCTTTTGATAGTTTCTCCTCCCTTCCCAATGACAAGTCCGGCTTTAGAGGCAGGGACCATAATCTCCTGGACAGTCATTCCTGGGCCGTCGTTGTGGTTGAAAGCTGGAGCCGGGCGCCCCTTCTCAACTATCTCTGTGAGTAGCCTCTTTGCTGCCCTGGTGGGAGACAAATGACCATAATACAGACTGAAATACTTGACGAGGACCCAACGAAAATTGAGATTCAAGCTTTAATGCCAACTATAGTTGCTGGAATTCTATTCACAACAATTATCTGCTATACAAGATGTCAGTATGTGATTTTTACTCCCTCACAAAAAGCTGTGCCACTGATGCCACTCAGTGCAACTAACATCTGACAGCTGTTGGTCATTTCTATGGACTACCCCGGCTGCAAAAAGATGCACTGAGATTCACTGTATTCCAGACATCATGGCATTTGCCTTGTTTTCGTCTATGGTGTCTCCCACTACGACTCCGTGTTACTCCAAAGTCTTTGTATGTGTTCTGGTCTCAGATACATTAGGGTTAGGGTTATACATCAGCTTTTCAGCGTGGTGCATGAGTTTTCATCACTGACCGCACACACATCGCATCCAAAGGACTTTGTTTTTGGCCACGGTTGTTTCTCAGTTCTTTTCATTAATGAGCCGTCTTAATCATCTGGTTTAAACTGAATCGCCACGCCTGTTTCTTTCTGTATTTTCTTAATCATCTCTCCAATTCTGCAAACAATTCCTACATTCCAAAGCCAGACATCTAGGAGAAATCACTGAACTTCCAATGTGACTGTTTTTTTTGTAAGTTTCTTCCCAATGATTGGCCCACACTTATATGCATGCAAGACCTGCCTCCAGAGACAGATAAGCCAATCAGACCTCAATATCACACATCAATATCTTAAAGGACATTCATCTGCCAAGAGTCTGGAACACAGTGTGTCTACATTACATGCTCTTAAAAGTAAGATTTTCACTTCAGGGGGCCATTAAATGAAAAAAAACAAAAACTTACTGGATGGACTCCTGTGGTCCTGTTAATGTCACTGACCTATCTGGCATGCCTCCGCTGTCTATAACACAGAGAAAAAGCAGTTAATGCAAAGGTTATAACAAATAAAAGGTAACTTCTTGGTATTACTGAGATCCATAATATTGGCAGAGATCTAAACTTACCAGGTGCAATCTGTATTTTGCATCCAGACTCCTGCTGCAGACGTGATATTTGTTCGCCTCCTCTTCCAATAACTGAAAGATAAAACGTGTGTTAATGCCAAATATTCAATATCAACAGCACTAAATTGACACTTTTGTTTTTGAATGAAAACTTACTGAATCCAACCATTCCATCGGGAACCTTGAATTCCTCTGATATTGACCTGAGAACAGACAAAACAACAAAACAAACAAAATCAACGTGAGCGTCGTAATAAATGGCAAAACATGAAAGACAAAAATATTTTATTTTAACTCAAGGTGTCTACCTTGGGGGGCCACCCATTCCTCCCATTGCTGAAAAGGCTGGGGGGGGGGGGAGAAAAAACATTACAGTACATGAGGGGGGGGGCAATGTAAACAAGATTAACCCATGCACCAAACATCCAATTCATGCTAATTTTGTGCCAATTACTTTAGGTAGGGAATCAAAAATTTACAGCCACATATTTAACTGTCACTATGTCATCAGGTCACTTACCATCATTTGTAGCCACTTTCTTTGTCTCTGGTTGGTCTGTGACAACATGACATAATAACCAGCATAAGTATCTCTCATTACACCTACCATCACAGTACTAACAGTGTTCTTCAATGTGAAAATGGCTCATCAGCATTGCCTAGAATTTAAATCGTTATGGCAAAGGGTGCTAAAAATATTCAACTACAGAAGCCTGCATAGCCACCACACAAGAGCGTATTTTTGGTACACCTAATATAAACTAATGTAGTCCTGTAATGAAATTCTACCTCCCTGAAAGTTAAGTTTGGGGGGGGGGGGTAGTTTGTGGTACTGTCAGATTGCATTGTGTTGTGGGTGTTTCCAATATTGTGTCCAACCTATTCTAATCAAGGAGGACATACTAAATATTAGAAACACCTCTGTTAAAAACCTCTCAAGCAGTTTACACAAAAACTGAACAATCTTTATGGGGGGGGGGGGTTGAAGGACTGAACTTAAATTACACACTTTGCTTTTGAGTGTTCAAACTGAAAAACAACAATGGCTGGACCTGCATTAATTGTACAATGACTCAAAATCGTAGTCACCCACCCCTACATTTTGAAATTAAAATAAAAAAAATCACAAGATCACATATTTGTTCCCAAATAATATTTCCATCACCAGGCACTGATTTGAAGCCGCTGTGAGGACAGAACATCCACTCTAAGCACGTGCAGTAACTAAAACTGTATAGGCTGATACTGAAACCACCAATAACATGAAAATTAACTGCGCACATGGTTAGTAATGTAACGTTACATAATGTTAAGACGTTTTGCTGAAAATGCACATTGATATAACGTTAGACATAATTACTGCAGAATTCATTCAGTTGAGTAAAGAACATTTCAAGGAAAATGCAATTTAGTAGCTGCTAACACACACAGGCAAGCATTAACTATCAAGACTTGCATTGAATCGATTTGAGTCACTGACCGATATTCAGGTTAGGCATGGGAAAATACCCACCAGCGTCCTCCAGGGGCCTTTTCTGGCCTCCGTAGCCAAATTCATTAGTTGGGGGTGCTGCGACGCCGTCACCGCCGATTTTCGCTGCAATCTGAAACACAAAAAGGATAAAAGCACAACAACTATTTAGATTTTAAATTATTCATTTGCTGTTCGTGATTGATGCGTTTGGACCACCGATGTTTGGACAGACACGCGGCTGCGGCCTAACTCCACTATTCTCTCCGGAAATCTGGCCCAACAAAGGAAAGCGTTTTCTTCCACTTAAGCTAATCGGTTAATGTTTAAAACCAACATACACAAGTTGGGATTCCGATAGCTGATCATATTCGGGAAGTTTAATCAGTACAGTATCGGGGATCAACAAGGATTGCTTCTGTTTTCGATTTTGCAGTGTTTCGCAACGTCCACCTTAGCTAACGTTAGTCATCGTTAGTTAGCCTGTCGTGATGCCGTGTGTTAAGGCAGAAATCACCGAAACCGGCTATTTGCTGCCTACTTTGAAATTATTTTTCGTACTAAATGATATTGTCGTCGTCTTACCTGTCGTGCTCGCTGTAGAGCATCTTTAAAAGCGTCGTTCATTCCGCCACCAGCGTTAGAGGACGGTGGAGCCACGCTGCTGTAATCAGCCATATCTGCTGCTCTTCTCCTTCTCAGCGCTACAAGATGGCGGGTTTCATACACGGGATGTGGCCAGGAAAACCCGCGCTCACGTGTTGTCTCGCGATAACCGCCGCACGTTTGCGTCAAATCTGACGTCTTTACGGTCGTTCTCCACTTTCGGTGTTTCAATTGCCAACCTGGTAAATTTAATGGAAAGTAACCTACATAGACATACCTCTAAATTCTACTTAATACATCAATTTCTCATAAGCTATTTATCTGAGATCAATACCTCTTTGTTGCTGGTTCCTATTGGTTTGTCATGTCTTGCATCTCTCATCGCAATTGTAAATTAAGCTTAGCATTTATATTTATTACTTTATTATAGCGCTTTATGTTTGTTATAATTATGAAAATGATCACACATTAAAAATTCCCATAGTCCGATTATTTTTCCAAACTTGGTTGCCCTACTATAAACTGCGGCTGTGGCTTGTTACATAGATGAGTTAGCCACAATTGTCATAACACTTTAAAAACCCGATACTTGCCTTGATTTGTAAAACAAACAATTAAGAAAAAGAAAAAGTTAAAACACACAAATATTGACACACCCGTAAATCACATTCAGTTCAAACTCATTGTAAAGAAACACATAAACTAACTCTTTACTGTTTAATGATAAATGGAGAAACCTCTCTGTTATGAAATAAACGTTTATTGTAGGCCTATGGCTCACGCATCATTTACACAACCCAATCTCAACTGGGCATCTATTACACTTGGTCAGATTATAAATTACAAGTCAACTATGCATCAGCACTCAGTGAGGTGTGCTGGATGTAAACACTTCACCATATCTCATGCTCTTGGTCAGTTGTTAAACCTTAACTCAAGCTTTGAAAAAGCTACAGATATTCACATGACATTGTAGGTCTAGCAGACTTGAAATATAAGCAAGATTTAAAGAATTCCAGTTATTTTTAGACACTCAATTAATTAATAAGAGTTCACAGTCTTTTTTTTCTTTGTGTTCCTGATCAAATCCCTGAAAAACTTCTTTATTATATGTCAATACTCACTCATCGTCATTATTTTGTGTACAGGATCGCGGGGGGGCTGGAGCCAATCCCAGCTTGCATTGGGCGAGAGGTAAGTTACACCCTGGACAGGTTGCCAGTCTATTGCAATCACACATCCCAAGACTCAATTGAGGAAAACACATTTTCAAATTTTCTAGTTAAAGTGTAGTTTATCAGAGCACATGGAATAGCCCTGACGAAGCTGGCTCCCATTCCATTATAATATCCTCTAATTCCACATCTTTCATATATCCCTATAAGTCCTTGTAATACACCTGAAGCCGGATGTGAGTCTGAGCTGAAAGCTGGAAAACAAGACAAAGGCCAATGAGTATGACATCTCAAATTGTTTCAAATAATCTTAAATGCGTCACAGAAAATGCATGGGTTTACCTCGTGCTTGCTGCTGAGTCCTGATCACTGCCAGTGGGTAACTGGTCATTTGTCCAGAAGCAAAGGCCACAAAACTGAAGAAAAACAGTTTGGACTCACTGCTGTAGGCTGGATCACTCCTTGCCCAGTTCATGATTGACTGCAATAGGAAGCAAATGTTAAAGATAGTATCTGTCACCGGGACATGTATTTGATCGTTGAGTGCTCTCACCTGATGCACTGCACACTCCACACCTGCATAAGGCATCATGCAGAGGATGCTCGGCTTAAATCCTCTGTAAAAGGAGGACATCGACTCATGTCTGTAAATAGATCGGGCACAAGCCACAACACCATTGTAGGTGCCAGCTTGCTGCAGATTCAATCTCACCTTCAGCACCTGTAGAATAGATAAGAGGAGAGAGATTGCTAAAATGAATGTTATCTATACACTAAACATATTTTACACATTCAAGATATTCATAACAATTAAAATACATAGTAAAAAATAAAAAACATGATGCTATTGGCATTGTTGCTACAGTAAATGAATACAATCCAACAATTCCTTGCAAAATAAAAGTCCAATTTTTCACATTACTATAACTTTATATGATATACACACATTTAAAAATGCTACTTCACATTCTTTACATGAATTATTATCACAACCATATGAGTATCTGGAGGGATTACAGCAAACAAAAGAGATCATTAATGAGATCTCTATTGTTTTACAGCAGGTAAACTGCTTTATGGCACTTATTAATCAGAGTACTTGAAAGGAGCACACCCTAAATTTTCACTTCTTGAATAAAGATATTTTTCTCCAATAACTGTTTTTATTACACATTTGATATGACATTGTCATGCCAATGAAGAACGGCAATGAGATAGCAGGGCAGTCAACCTTTCTTGCACATTATTATCACCCAGCCTCTCCAAAGATTTTATGAATGCGTGTGTCCCTCCTGATGACTGCCTAAAGCACCCAAGATCATTCTTTAATTTAGAAATTTTTGATGCAACAAATTTATAGTTCAAATTATTCTCATTTGTTTGCAAAACTTAAACCAGTGAATCAAAGTTTGTCTGACAATGACATACTGACATTTAAATTAAGTTGTAATAATCTATGGACAGCATTCAGCTGTTATGACAGGACAGGACAGAAATGTTAAAAGCACTCAGACCTGCCACTGATCTCTGATACCTCTAAAGGGTAGAAGGCAGCATGAGCAACAGCACCGGACACACATCCCAAGCCAAAACGCTGCTGCACCGTCAGAGTCTCCTGTGTTCTGTTTTGGGTGTACACCTTCATCTGGACAAAATAGAGAAGCTCTGAGTGTGCTTGTCAATAAGAAACTGGTGCATCCATCATTTATAGAGACTGCCTCCTACTGTATGCCTCACCTGGGCGTAGATAAGACACTGTAGCGTTGACTGTGGAGTTCCTTTCAACACATTGACGGCGTTTCCTTGCCACATCGACCGCAGACCACCTGCCCTAATCTCCTGAAAGCCTTGGGAGAAGGCCTTGGATCCATGAACCTACAGAGCACACAGGAAAACCATTCTTATGAATCACTTTCACAGGCAGCTGCTGTAAATGTGCAACAATGCGAAGCCTCCTGAAAAACTATTTGTTGATAAGTACAGGTACAGAAATATAAGTCACATATTTATTTTAAAGTGACAGAATAAAACAAAGCACAGACAGTAAGAATTATGTGATACTGCTGTCAGTCTCTTTTCACATGCTCCATCCACAGAGGTCAGAGGTCAGTGTCAGATACAGAGAATCGTAATTGTTTTGACTGAGGTCCTTCTCAAGTTTGTTTCAGTGCATAAAGACTGTATTAAACAGGTATGAAGGATATTGAGAAGCAGCTGCAAAAACCCAGCAATAAACACATATGATGAGACTCACAAAGATATGCCACATGCAAACTGTAGACTGAGTGCTCTTCCAGAATCAGGAAAAGATAAATTATGTAAAACAAGGTAGGCTGGCTGATAACGTCTTTAATCCCCGACACAGTAAAGTACAGTAAAGTAAAACACCAGGTCATTTATTACTAAGACAAAAAAAACTTTCAGTTGTCATTCTTTACAAGTGGTTTGGAAAAATTAATTAGTGAGGAAATGTAAGAATGCTCCTTTAATAAATTACACTTTAAATTTATGTGAGTTAGCCATGGAAGTTCATTCCTAATCTTTAGGAACAGTATGTAACACACTACAAGTTTTTGGAGCTTTAAACTGCCTTTCCTCTGTCATGATTAGAACAAGTTAGACTGGGAGATGTGGTTGAAAGCTAGTGAGTGGACCTTTGAGCTTAGATTAGTTTGTTAAATCAGCTTTATGTTAGGTTTCAGACGGTACCAATGATTTTCACTGAGCTTTCTCTTACTACAGCCAAATGATCTTGTCCCATTCAATAAACGTAAAGCCATGTTAAAACTCCATGTAACTGAGAAATGTAACTACTTCGTGTGAGCTGGATTTAGTCCCTTTCTTTTATGTGTGATGTTTGTTCCACAGACAGAGATTTCAATTGTAACTGGTGTGCCATCTTGGCCATGTCTCCCTGGAAAAGAAATTTCAATCTCAAGGGACTTCCTGGTTAAATAAAGTCTGACTTTATACATGTCAAAAATCTCACAGAACCTGTACAAACTATGCCCAGCGTGAGACATTCTTTAGCTCAAACGTCACCATGTTTCCATGTGTAACTGTCCCACCAAATTGATGTTTAAAAAGAGTCAAAACTTGACAACTTCAGAGGAAACTTAAATTTCAACACTTTATAAAAGCTTAAGCAGTGGAGCAGATATTTGTGTGCATGTGTGTGTGTGTGTGTGTGTGTGTGTGTGTGTTGCATTGCACATCAAATTAATCTAATTTACTGTTCCATTGAGGACCACCAAAAAACAAAGTGCTGTAAGTATTTGTTTGGGGTCAAACAGTCATACATTCAATAGCTCATGTAAAATCAAACAAATCCACTCATCTGTTTCACTAATAACAAAGCAGCACCTGAGAGTGGAGCTGACCTGAAGTTGGGTCTTCAGGCGGTCGATGGGCGCCGTCACACTTCGGGATACAGCATCTGCCAGTCCTGCTGCGACAACAAACGTCCTCCACGCACCGAAACCGGACGCCTCCTCTGGGAACTCGATGGGCATTGTGCGGCTCTCACCCACATCAAAAACCTACAGATAGATGAAAAGAGGAATCACATTTATCATCCTTTAATCAGTGTGTTATTACTCACGCTTAAGTGGACAGTGCATGCATCATAGTTTGAGCACACCACTGCTTTGTTGAGAGAGCGAGAGTGACGCTGCCAGAAGATCTTACCAGACTGTGTTTCCATGAGGACACCAGCTCCCTGATGTTGTCCACAGGGTTGAGGACGACATGGTGCAGGAATTCACCCCAGTCCACCGTCATTGAACTGTCTTCATCCATCCTGGTGTTCGCAGCAACAACAGCCTCAGTTTTACTCTTTGCAGGCTTGATGGCTTATTGTGGTAAGCCAAAACATATTTTATTTGCATTATGACATATATTACTGACCTGTAAGCACAAATAGATATAGACCCATTTATAAAACAAACCATTATACCATGAGTATACCTTATCGTGCAGTGATGCCAAAAGGTTATCAATATTTCTAAAAAAAATAAACTGTTTAGAAAGCACTAATGTGATGAGTGTGTGAAATGTGCTCCAGTGTGTTTTGAACTCTTTTGAACCCAGTGCTACATCTGTTAATGTTTTTATATTTTAAATTAAATGAATGTTTGTTCAAATGCAACAATGGATCCATGAGGTAGTGGGCAAAAAAAAAATCTTACATTTGAATTATTTGTTTTGCATTCGCCTTTGATATGACCACTCCTAACTCCTTAAACAAACATATGATGTCGTCCTGGTCAATCACCCCTGATCAGAGAAGAAATGCACACAGTTACAAACAGATACTGCCAACTTGTCAAGTGATGACTGTGCTTAAAGTTTATGAGTTTCTGTGAACTCTGAGTGAAAGGGTCACCGCCTGTAGTCAACTGTGTACCATCAACAAAGTGTGTGCATATCTGCCTTTCCAGTCTGACCTTAAAATACAGTTTATTGTCAAAGAATTCACATTTATGGTGGTTTATGAAGACTATGCCCAAGTAGGACTACTCATCTTCTACATCTGAAGTAAAGTTCACAGTTTGTTGTTTAAAGGAGAGCAACATGCTTGAAAAAAACACATTACCCTCATCACATAGTGTTTATGGTATATATAGCCTCTCCTGAGAGGTAATTGGCATCTGACCACTCACCACACTTGTTCTTGTCAAGGTCATGAAAGTAAATTTTCCATTTCCTCTCTCTGTCCATCATGTATCTGAGGAACTCTTCATAATCCAGCAGGCCATCTTTGTCTTTGTCATAAGAATCAATGATATTCTAGGAGGGGGGAAACTCTTTATTTAGCAGCTTTTAACATTGGAGCCACGCACATACTTCTCATGCTGTAAAAAGATGATTAAGAATAGCCTACTACCTGGACCTTGCCATCCGCTGAGAGGATCCCATGCTTCCTCATTTCGTTGTGGAGCTCCGCCACCGATATGAATCCATCCTTGTTTTGGTCCAGTTTAACAAATAAACCACGAAACTGATCCATGCTTAGTTTAGAAACGAAATTGTCTCAAGTCTAAATTAAGATCTAATAGATTAAAATCTAATTACGATGTTTTTTAAAAAGCAGCTGCTTCGGGTCCTTCTAAGGGCTCAAATAATGTATTGCTAATAATTAGAGATGACTGACCTGCAGCTCCTCTCTGACGCTGACTCATTGGCGGAGCGCAGTGCCAATGCAGTTCAAGTGTGGGACAGCAGGTGACGCTGTTGCTGCAAGAGAGCCCCTCACAGCTCATCATCATCATCATCTTCTTCTTCAATCATCACGTGCTTCTTCCTCTAGGGCTACCTAAGGACTTGCAGACGGAGTTTGCAGAGAGCAGACACGGAAATAAGTGCATTTACTCATGTACTGTACAAATTTGAGGTAGGCCTACGACTAGTCTACTTGAGCCTTTTCATCCCACTATTGCTACTTGTACTCCGCTGCAATTATCTGACAGTGTTGTGACTTTACAAATGTATTTATTTTTGCACATAAAACACCCGAAGAGCTCATCATATATGATATTGTGTTAGAACTTAAACTACCCAACAAAGGTACAGTATAGCAATACAGCTGAAACGATTAGTCATCAATTAGTCAATGAACTGTCAACTGTTGTGATGATGAAGTCGTTTTTCATGCTGAAAAACATTTCATGGTTCCAGTGTCACAAATGTGAGAATTTTACTGCTGCTCCTTCTAAGCATTGTAATCATTTCCATTTTATTTTTATTAAAGTTTGAATTTTGGGCTGTTGGTTGGACAAAATAAGCATTGTGAAGGTGTCAGTCTGGATCCTTTACACACCAATCAATCAATCAATCAATCGAATTATCGGGAAAAGAAGAATAATGGAAATGATCATTTGTTGCACTCCAATACAGAATAGTTAAAAATTAGCTCCACCTCAACCAACTACAGCAGTAAATCATTTTATCTTTTACATTAATGCATGAGTAGCTTAACAATGATCGAATTCTATATTACAGGCCTAGTAACAGCCAGATTTTGAATGCTTTAAGTAGCCTACATCTTCCAATGCCAACTACTTTTATTAAAGTAATATTTTCAATCCAGGGAATGATGCTTTTACTTGAAACAGATTATTTTTACAGTAGGCCAATTAGTAGCACACACACACACACACGGAGAGAGAGAGCGGGTCTCAGCTCACCGGAACCAGATTTATTTCTGGTGTTGAACTTGACGTTGGCGCTGTGGATGCAGGAGAGGGAGCTGTGCCTATTTAAAGAGGGTCGCCCAGTCACGGATAAATAACAGGAGGTCCACGGCGCTGACTAAGCGCCTCTAAATGGTTTTCATCCCGCACTGTGTATCTGTCTGCGGCTTCTTGTTCATCAGTCCGGACTGACGCCGCTTCACTGCCATCCGTAGACCAGTCGACCCAGTCCACAGTCTACCAGCTCTTCTCCAGGGGGCTATTCTGCTGCTGTTTTTCTTTTTCTTATTTTCTGGGATACGCGAAAAATGGGGAAAGATTACTATAAAACGCTGGGTATCTCTAAAGGAGCAACAGACGAGGATATTAAGAAAGCTTACAGAAAACAAGCGCTGAAATGGCACCCGGACAAAAACAAGTCTGCAGCCGCCGAGGAGAAATTTAAGGAAATCGCCGAGGCATATGAGGTCCTCAGTGATCCGAAGAAAAGAGAAGTTTATGATCAGTATGGAGAGGAAGGTAATGTGTTTTTTTAAATATCGCATTTCTCATTTTTACCCGTGTGTGACGGTTTTTAATTCACCTTCAATACACCGTTATAATCCAGTTATAAAGCCTGGATGGTTGGATGTAAAACACAGCTGGCTTTAATTCAAGTCACCCACTGCAACCAGCAGGCCTAGAAAACAGCTGTTAAGCAGATCATAGGCATCCAGTTCCCTGTGTAATTTAAGGATTAGCTATTACACTATGCCTATAGCTGCAGTTATAAGCCCCTTCTATAAGAGAAATAAAAGGCCTGTCACCCTTTCCACCACATATTTTCTTAAAAATGTGGGTGTGTCCTACCTACAATGTAGTATCTGAACATAGAGGTTTAATTTTCAGTACATCGTTATTGGTGGGAAGCATGTGAGGAAAGGAAAAAGACCACCAAGCATCACTATATCCCTCTATAACAAATAAAAGGTGGGAAATTATGCTTTTCATGAATTTACCTTATGTAGCAAAGGGTACATGCTGAACATCTTTAGAAAGGGCTTGTATAAGTGTACCAAGCTGTTTTTTCTACAGTAAATCATGCAAAAGTGTGCTAGAAACCCAAAATGAAGACATGAATAGTATAACTCCTTTAAAGGATCTCTCAAGCCTGTGTGCCTTATTGGTGATAAACTGCAAGCTTCTAAACATTGCCATCTGTAGGCTAATATCTCCAAGAAAAATGGAAACTCTTAAGTCCACCAAAGTCCCAAGTTCCTGGCTGTCATTTAAAAAGCACCACTATAGTATTTTGTTAAAGTTATTAATGTTTTAGTCTTCTGATACCAATTCCAATACCCCAACACATGGTATTGACCGAGATACTGGTTCCATACTAGTGCCCTCTTTTTGCCATATTTTATCTGTGGGATCATTTTTATGTAAAACTATGCTAAGGATATGGTACTAAAAACTGAGGCGGCGTGATGAATTTAAGACTCTAAACTACTCCAGTTTGCAAGTCGAAGAGTCCTTGGGCAAGATATTGAACCCCAAATTGTGAATGTGTGTGAATGTTAATATCTGTTTCTGACGAGCAGTTGGCACCTTAGCCTCTGCCAATTGGTGAATGCCAGTGGGTGACGTAGTGTAAAATCAATTTGAGTGGTCCTAAAAGCGCTTTAAGTGGTCAGAAGACTAGAAAGGTGCTATACAAGTATAGGCCATTACCATTTAAATTGGTTCATCATTGGTTGGTCAATTGAAAAAAGTTTCCTAGAGGCCAAGACGATATCTTCAGATGTCTTGTTTTATATGACAAACATTCAGTTCACAACATTTTCACATTTGAGAAGCTGGAACAAGCTGTGGGTTGGATTGTGCTAGTCCTCCTATGTCTCACCTGTGGCAGAAAGCTCTCCCAATGCTGAGTGTTAATGTTGAGCTGACTGATCATTTCTGTTGTCTGTCAGGTCTCAAGGGAGGAAACGGTCCAACTGGTGATGGACAAGGCAGCACCTTCACCTACACCTTCCATGGGGACCCTCACGCCACCTTTGCCACTTTCTTCGGGGGTTCAAACCCCTTCGAGATGTTCTTCGGGCGTAAAGCCAACGGCAGAGACGACGATGACATGGAGGTGGACGGAAACGACCCTTTCGGATCCTTCACCAGCTTCAACCTGAACGGATTCCCTCGGGACGGACATGTCGGCCCCGGAGGGCCGCAGCGCCGGAAGCAGGACCCGGCCATCATCCACGAACTGAGGGTCACCCTGGAGGAGGTCTTCCACGGCTGCACCAAGAGGATGAAAATCTCTCGCAAAAGGCTAAATCCAGATGGCAGGACCATGCGCACTGAGGATAAGATTCTTACTATTGAGATCAAGCGGGGCTGGAAAGAGGGAACCAAGATCACGTTCCCGCGGGAGGGGGACGAGTCGCCCACTACCATTCCTGCTGACATTGTTTTCGTCATCAAGGACAAGCCACACCCTCACTTTAGGCGGGAAGGCTCGAACATTGTCTATCCTGTGCGCGTGAGCTTACGACAGGTGAGACGTTTTCTATTTTGGCAGCCACTTTGACCGAGTGCAGAAGTATTAATAGAGTCTGATAGATGGATTAGTCACAAACAGGGGGGGATTCAGAACAAGCTCACATTTAGTTTAGAGTGCTGCTTCAAAGCTGTGACGCTCCAGAAAGCATGTTCATAATCAATAAGCCTTAGGTAGTCTGCCTCAAAAGCTGTTTTCCCTGGAAAGTTCAGGCGTACTGAATGAGCATAGTACTGATCTACACGCACACTTTGGCTGTGCACTTATGTAATCTAGATCATCAACATTGAGAAATAGGAGCTGTATCACAGGGAGGGCAGCGAGGCGGCGCCCGCCCACGCGCACCCAATGCAAGATGTACTTACATGGTTCCTCCTACACTCTGAGAAGGATCTCACGGCCTCATCTCATATTTTAAATCACATTAAATGTTTCTCGTCAGTGAAACAATTAATGTAATTATAATCAAATAGAACAGTTGTATATCAGCATGAGAGTTCAGTCTTGACTTCGGTAACAGTAGCCTGATAAAATAATCTTAACTCAAGGGCCAGCTAGCTTTTTTCCAGAACTTTCTACAGCATCACCTGTTGTTAGAAAGACAAGAAAAGACAAAATCATTGAATAGAGAGATTACGACCACCTGTTTTCACCTGACGACAGCTAAGCCATCTCCATAACAGCTGAGCAAACTCCGTCCACTAATTGTGACTGCTGATCTTGTCTGTAGCGTTTGAAAACTCTGGAAAAGATATGGACCTTAAATTGAGATTATTTTCAATTTAGAAACTGTCAGCGTTATACAGTTAGTCCATCTGAGAACACTGAAAACACAGTCATATTTTAATAGTAGTCCCAAGTATCCAGCTCGCTACAGGGATGAAAAATGGCAGAAGTATTATTATTAAATTGTTTTAAACTGTCAAATACAGATATCAGTATTGGCTTCAAAAATCCAGTATCGGTCAGGTTGTACATCTGAAAATAGTGTTAATAGAAGTTTGCATTCTGTGTTTATTGCAGAGCTGGGCAATGCCATCCTTTCTGAACTTTCAGCTGAATTGTATCATGTTGACATGATCATTTCCTGTTATTGTACAACAAATATCTGTATATCTGTCAAATGAATGTTTTTATTTTACACATTGAAAACTTTGACTATATGTAATGAATAGCAAAGGATCATTGCCAGCTGCTATGGAAGTTTGATTATTTTATGTGAATTTGCATACATTTGCGACATTGTGTAATATATTGATATCAGAACATATCGTTAGGAAAATCGTGTTTATTTCAACCATATTATCCAGCCATAGTTTCACACAATAGAAGCTTTTTGCTTTAATCTCAGCCAGTGAACGGATCTATGTGTTATTTGTGCCCACAGTAGATCATGTGTGGGTTGCTGTTCTCCTTATTCTCACTCTGACTTCCATATTCTTGTCTTTTCAGTCGTTGTGCGGATGCTCAGTTACCGTGTCGACAATAGACGGGAAGACGTGCAACATGAAGATCACGGACGTCGTCAAGCCTGGCATGAGAAAGACTGTTGCCGGACAGGGTCTCCCCTTCCCCAAAAACCCAGAGCAGAGAGGGGACCTGGTGGTGGAGTTTGATGTGAACTTTCCTGACACATTGCCCGGCAACGCCAAGGACGTCCTGAAACGACATTTACCTACCTAGGACGAAGGACTCAGACTGAACAAGGGGAGATAACCACATGACAGCTCTCACCCTCATTACCAAACACACTCACACAAACACTCACACACAACACACACACACACACACAAGGACAGTTCTGACAGTTCACAGATGGAGCTAGTGACGAATGTGCAATTTCTATTTTTGAGCTACGTGGTGGTTTTATAAATACCATGCATGCTGCCAAGTTGATATAAGTGCAAGTGAAAGACTGTCTGGGTTATTGATATCTGAAAGTACACATTGTATGTATGTGGGTCTTTGCCATAATTACTTTATCTTTTTGTTTGTTGGTAATATTTGGTAGTGAAAGAGTCTACAGTTGCCTAACACAACCCCAGTGATCCTGGGAAACATTGCATTGCCAAACAGTACATTTTTTCTTGCTCTCATTTAGATTTTACAAGCTTAATTACTGACATTTTTAACTGTCATTCATGTTGATTTCGTCATTAAGAGATACACGTCTCAATTTGGAGGCTGTCTTAAAATGTGTGTACAGGTTATTCAAGAAAGGAAGTGGTTGAATCAAATGCATTGTCACGTGTGCATTTTAGAATCGTACATGTGAAGATATTGAACTTGAATTTTAAAATAAATATTTCCACATGAAGTGAGCTTGAGCTGTTGTTGTGCAGTTGTGGAGAGGCATGTGATGAATCCTCCTCTGTGAAACAAACAGTGTATTAACAATAATCACTTTAAAACCGTTAATACTGCTTAGGCCTATATATAGTCAGTGAATAGTCTGCATAGCAATATTACATAAAATGAGTCCTCTGCAGCACCAAATGGTTCTTCAGACGTATATTTTAATAGTAAAATGTGTATATTTTGTTGTTGTGAAATTTATAAAGTAACTTTTCTCATGTGCAAAGATCAATATTAAAAATACATCGACTGAATTTAATGCTTACAAATGGCAGAACTATGAATGTGTAAATATAGCTGTCTGGTCTCAGCTGCTGGTGATCAACTGCCAACACAGAGACCTTTACATTTTCCCACCAGGGGACGCCACATCACTCATCATGGGCTCGGGGGCCCACAGAGGTGGAGTCCTTGTGAGGCAGAGAGGGCCCCTTGGCTGCTAACATTTGTACTCATTCATTTTTAAGTTCAAAGTGTTTGGGCTATAGTAAAGCCTTATTTAAGCAGAATCAGCTTTATTGGCCAAGAATGTGTACACATGCAAGGAATTTAACTCCAGACAACAAAGCTGAAGAAAGATAGAATAAAGAGAAAATAAATACAAAAACATAATGTAGTATGTGAAAAATAGGTGTATATACATACAAAAAAGCAACAATAAACAACATGATACATGGCTCCTACATCATTACAAGGAGGTAATGTGCGTGTATTACGCATACATTTTAATTTAATATCACAAATATCATACCATATCATATTTTTAGCATTGTTTTATTACTACACACCAATATCTATCCATCTATCTGTCAACGTTTCTATCTACGTAGATTTGTAGTGGTAGTAGTACATATGTATCTTGTTTTAAAGCAAATGCCGGGTGAAAAGATGTATTAATCACATATGTTGGAGATTTGTGCAAATGATGAACTATTATCCAGGGATGGTAGAAAGTAAACACACCCGCTCCTTTTTAATGAATGTATTTGCTAGTCTAATGTGCATCCTTATGGCATTAAACTATGGTATCTAAAATAGAAAATACGTTATTTTTAAGCAGGAAATACATTTAATAAACTTTCCATCATGAGCCCAACAATGTTATAGGACTGCAATGCAAAATCGATTGAAAGGAATAATCCCATTTAAATAATACAGGTGTATCTCTCAACAGTACTTCTCCACAGGTTTGACAATTCACTACTTTATAACTGTCATATGAATGCTCGGACCAAAGTCTGTGACATTAATGTGTGACCAAACTGGGTCTCTGTGACATGACAAGTAACAGGAAAGGAAAATGACAGAGCTATTACTTAGACTTATGTTCTTGATTTTTCTTTTCTTCTCTAAATGAGTGAAGCAGCAAAGATCACATTTGCAAAGAAATATGTATTATGCCCAAAACCAGATCTGCATCTATCCATTTATTGACATTTGGGGGGAAAACATTTAGACTTGTTTTGGGCAAGTTTTGGTATTCATTAGGATTTGATTTGTTCTGGTTTCCAGTGCCGTACTTTGGTACAGTTTTATGATACTTATGCTTTACTTGAGTATTTCCATGGTATGTTGCTTTATTCTTATATTGTATATTATATTATATAAATATTGTACTTTTTATTGTAGTACAATTATTTGATAACTTGAGTTACTAGTTAGAAGAGACAGCTAGCTGCTGGGCCAGATGGTATCAGCCCCAGGGTCCTGAAGGCCTGCACAGACAGCTACAGCAGGATCCAGGAGAAGGTTCTGTCATGATTTGGCCTTGCCAGTACCTCTATCTTCATGTTTCCCCTTTTCCCCCTCCCTGCTGTCTCTGCCAGTTTACATGCCATGTTCTGTCAGGTTGTGTGTGTGTGTGTGTGTGGTTGTATTTCTCTTGCTCCCTCCCTCCTGGCTGGCATCTGCAGCATATCTCACCTGTGGCTCATCTAGTAATCAACTCTCTCAGTGAAATACACCAGCTCATCACACACTTTTTTCCGGTTTGTAAGACGCTGCTCTTCAGCAATGAGCTGTGTGTCCCTGGAAGCCCCTGCCTAACAGCCTTATGTAGTGTTTTGGGAGCTGTCTCGCCTGTTTGTTTGCTTCCCACTTCTCAGTTCACCTGTTTGAACACTCTTTGCATTTGTTGCTATATAAATCTACCCGAGTTGACTGTTTCACCTGCCCTGGATCCATACAGCAAATCTTAACAGGTCCCAGTGTTGTAGAAGACATCCTGCTTTGTTCCGGTACCAAAGAAGTCCTCTCCATCTGTCCTCAATGATTATAGACCCGTGGCATTAACATCCCACGTAAAGTCCTGGAGAGACTGGTCTTGGCTCATCTCAGACCTCAGGTGACCACCTCCCTATGCCTAGGCCAGCATATACAGTACTACTGCGGGAGAAGCCTCCGCAACCTCCTGGATTATTGACTACCTGATGGACAGACCACAGTTTGTGCGACTGAGTGATGTGTGTCTGAGTAGGTGGTTAGCAGCACAGGGAGACTGTAATCATACCTTTTCTCTTTACACTATATACCCCTCAGACTTGCAGTCCAACTCTGAATCCTGTCATCTGCAAAAATTCTCAGATGACTCTGCCATTGTGGGTTTTGTTGGTGGTGGAGAGGAGACTCCAGGAGGAGTCTAAAGGGAGTAGGCCAATCGCTTTGTGTCTTGGTGTGGGGAAAAACCATCTCATTTTATGTGGCCAAGACAAAGGAGATAGTTGGTGACTTTAAGAGGACTGGACTGGAAGTGTAACACTGACACTGTCTACAGATGGGACAGAGCAGACTCTACTTCTTGAGGGAGCTTTTTTCCTTTAATGTATGCAGCAAGAAGTTGCAATTTCTTTTTTACCAGTCTGTTGTAGTTGTTTTTTTGCAGACCATTCTACACATTTATATAATAGCCTAAAGATATATTAGTTGTTTGTTCATATTTGTAAATGTGTTTTAAATTGCAGGTTTTTTTTGTATGTATGTGTATTTGATTTGATTTTATCATATGTAAACTGCTGCTACTGCAACACTGCAGTTTCTCTTCAGTGATGAATAATCTATCTAGATTACATACAACATATAATCAATTAAAAAAAGACTTTCTAGATTAAGATGTCCAGCAGCAAGTAATTTAAATTAGACCCACCGTTACCAGCTGCAACATTAAAGTAATGTAGCCTACTCCGATCTGTAATTATAATCCAATAATATACATTATTCTGAAATGGGCGATTCTTCATAAATATATTGTGATGCTTATACTTTTGTACTTTAACTTGAGTAAAAATTTGAATGCATGGCTTTTACTTGTAACAGAGTATTTCTACACTGTGGTATTGCTAGTCTACTTGTCCTTTTTTGTAGCTCTACCACAGCTGGTTTCAGCCTTTACTTTTTTTCTCCTTTAGACCCAGTTTTAATTTGGACTCAAACAGTTCTAGTGTTAGGGATGTGAGAGGAAGTGATGATTTTTGGGGGTGAGGGGGCATCAAAGGAGGTGGTAGTTAGACAGTAAAAGCCAAAATCAATGGTCTATGCTGGGAACCTTGCTTTGTAGCTACACCCTTGGATTTAACAAATCCAGACCAAGAAACCAGATTTTCTGTATATGTATATAATTTCAGGCCACTGTAATCCAGATTAGCAGTATGTGTTTAAATAAACCTTATCCCGACTCATTGTTTTAAAGTGATAACCCCCCTCTGTGATGGTGCACAGGTGCACAGGGAATGGCCCGGGTTCGTCCCACTGCGCCTGCGTCACGCTGCACACCGAGAGACAAACAAGAGCGGCTATTGTTAGCCGAGGACCAGCCAGCAGGTTGTGACAGAGTTTATCACGTACTCACCACCTACCTGTTGAATATTCACACAGTTTATTTGCAAGCGAGGGGCCGAGTCACTGTCGAAGAACAAAAGTCAAACCTAAAAGCTGTGGGCAGGTGAGGCAGGGAAAAGTGTTCGCGGAAGGAAGGAAGGAATTGAGGAAAGCTAGGAGGAAGTAAATAAGGACATCAGACCGTTGGGGCTTGGGACTCAACAGGTTAGCCACTTCAATGTTATAGCAGCGGCTCGGACTTTTTGCTTTCCACGTCGAAAAACAAACGAGTACAACAACAAGAAAATGCCGTTGGGACCATGGAGGAAGAAAAACAAACCGACGAAGGAGCATTTGGTGGAAAACGAGGAGGTCACCGGCGGACACGCAGGTCCCGGGAGCTTGGCTAAATCCGCCGTGAACGGAGCGGGGCTACCGCCTCCACCTGCCAACCTGCGGCCCAAACTGGTCTTCCACACGCAGCTGGCTCACGGAAGCCCCACCGGCAGGATCGAGGGATTTTCCAACGTGAAGGAGTTGTACGCGAAAATAGCAGAGGCTTTTAATATAAGGCCACCTGAGGTAAGATCTCACCTGTTAAAGAAGGTGGGGGGGGGGTAAAGGTCATGGAAGTGAGTTCAGTGTTGCGTTCAAGGGTTGAAGCTCGATTCGACTTAAAGTCACCGATACCCTTTCTAGAGATTTACAAAAGTATAAGCACTGGTGGTAAAGCAACTTAGGCTACATATACTCAAGTACTGTACTTATGTACAATTTCTAGGTACTTGTAGTTTATTTGAGTATTTCCATTGTATGATTCTTTTCAATATACTCCACTACATTCATTTGATATCTTTAGTTACTCGTTACTTTGCAGAGTCACATTCTTTTAAAATTAAAATATAATCAACAAATAAAATATGATATATTATTATAAATCAAGATCATTATGTTAAGTACTTAACATTTACCAGCTGCAACATGCTGCTTTATACTTACTATATATATGTGTGTGTGTGTGTGTGTGTGTGTGTATATATACTTACAAATGACTACATTTTATATATAGATATACAATACTATCAATGTAGTATTTTTACCCCACTACATTTATTTGGCATTTGTGGTGACTAGTTTCTTTTCCAATTAAGATGATGATATTATGTTTTAGATTATAAAAAGCAATCCATTGGTAAAGATTAAACCAGTTGTCCCCAATGTTTTTGCCTAGTGATCTCTTACACATAAACCTCAAATGGGACAAGGGGCCCCAACTAGACACTGTTGGGGCTCCCTCATCCCATTTCAGATGTCTGGGTTGTCACCAATTCCACCAAATTGCCCTTTAAACCTCAAATGATCAAGTAATAAATGCAACTTTATGTAACTTTGTAACTTTAATTTTCTTCTTTCCTGATCTATTGATCATATCAGGAGGGGGCCTGACACCTAAATTGGGAACCACTGGACTTAACTACTTAATAGTATGCAAAGTAATTAAATCTAGCTCCCCCCTCAACTAGCTACAATAGTAAACTGCTACTCACTAATTGATACATCGTATCAGCAATCTGATACTGTCATAATAATAATAAATCAGTTACAGGGGCTACCTTTCTGCAGAAGAAGTATTTTTTTAATAGTGTTTTGCTGATAATACTTAAGTACTTCTATTTAAGTTAAAATACATGAAATGGATCATTTTTCCAGTTTGGTCACAATACTTTTACTTAAGTAAAGGATCTGAAAGATGAATAATTGCTGGAAAGGTTTGGGTAAACAGTTTTGTAAGTGGCTTTTCTAAGAGATTAATTGACCATTTAAAGTCAGCTTTGATTGTCTCATGTCAAAGCTGGTTGGTGTTTGTAAAGGCACACCCTGCCAACTCTCTGCCAGCCTGCACACCTTCAACCCTGCAAGATCTATCCATTACACAGCCATTTGATACCTGACAAACTATTATTTGGTATTTGGTCCATCATGTCAATTATTCTTATTAGGGCTGTTCTGCTTCTGTCAAGACCTGTGTTTAGTACAGAAAATGCCTCCCGGTGTGTTCTTTTTCTAACGACAAGCACAGTACTACAGAGGAGCTAAAGAGATTTGAGATTTTAGCAGATTTTCAGCAGGCTGCGTTGGCAGACTGGATTCATACCTCTTTTTCTGCGTACGCTGCCCTGCTAAAGTGTCTTTGGGTAAGACATTGATCTTGTATCATCTTTTGTAGTATTGTTCTGTTACTGATCTAGACCCCTGGCCCCCTAAATAATCACACTGGTGTTTATTTTTGTAGGTGCAACATCATGAGAAAAATAATACCTCAAAGCTTGCCAAGCAAATAGCAAAGAAAACATAACCCGAATGGCAGCATATCAGTCTGTCCTGTTAAACAGTTACGTTACATCAGCATTCTTTGATAGATGCAGAAAGTGTGACCCAATGAGGATGATGGCCTATTCAGAAATGTGGCACAGATAGTTACACAGAGACAAAGACAGATGCAGACAGGCGGATGGAGTGTGATGTGATAATGTCAGTTGTTGGACATTTTTTACAGGAAGTCCCTCACGTCCGGCTCGGTGGGCATAGCCTCAAAATCTAACCAGATAACTTGTCCCAGCCACAGCCAGAGGCGTCCCAGGGGACCCACGGGGAGCAGCTCTGCCCAGGCCCTCCTCCCTCCATAAACACCACCAAGCCTCACTCTGCTGCTCATGTGACTCTGGTTCCCCATGTTGACTAGACGTGACCTGTCTCACACAGGACAAAAGAGATCAGATGAAAGCCTTATTTCCCAACAAAACTCAGCTTTTAAATTAAGAAGATGCATTTTTAATGGATACCTGCATGTAGGGCTGGGTACTAGTGCCAATTTGATACCTAAGGTTTGCTGCCAATACCAGATATACTTTAGTGAGGTGAGGAGCAAGAGGAGGCCTCAGTGCTCGACATGTTCATTACAAAACTGTCAAATGCAGTCTGCACTCAAAATGTGCTGACAAGACAAATTTCCCACTGAGCGTCAGACATAATTTCAATGCGCCATCTGCTTTAGCTCTTGTATAGACTTGAATCTTTATGACAAAGTAAGTCAGCTGTAAATACATATTTACATATTAAAACCTCTCATAAACAGCTGTAAATAGAATGAGGTTAAACATGAACCAGAGCCTTCTGCATCAAGATAACTCGTTTGTTTTGGCAGGTCTCAGAAAGGATTTAGTCTAAGAGGACTTTAAACAAAACTAATTTAAACATTTAATCAGTGTAAAAGTCAGTTATGACAGGTGCTGCGGTAAATGTTAACATAATGTGAGTTTAAATAATTTATCAAACCTCTTTTCTGGTTTCAAAACATCAAATGTGAAGGTCTATTAGCTGACTTTCTAGCTGTAGCGCTTTGCTTCAGATAAGAGGTGTCCCTGAAGCAGTGTCTCATGGCGTCCAATGTATTAAGCCAAACAAATTTCAGAACTTGTTAAAAGAAGCCCTTTGTTGCTGACCTTGTCTTTGTATGTCCAGTGTACAGTTAGTGGGGCGACCTAATGGTCTCAACCATTGAAAGTATAGTTTTGTTCCTTTTTAAGAAAAAAGTATTGTATTAAAATTAAATGTGGTTTCATTTTAAATAAGATATTTTCAAACATATAATCACTGTAAAATTACTGCCTCAGTTGAGACGGATGTTATGGTTTATGCTAGCATCATTGTGAGTTTAAATAGTTTGTGTTTATTGAAATTTTATCTCCCTCTTTTCTGGTGTAATTTCCTTCAAAACACCAAAATAGCAGTGAGAAGAGTTTTTCTCAGCCTGGAAGCAATATAACATAAATATATCTCTGACTTTACTCAGCTTTTCTTCTTGGTTGCTGTACAATGTCAATTCTGTATTTTAAAAGCAGTTAATTTAGTGAAATAAATGAACAGCTGGTAATAACAATGTGCACAGCTTAGCAGAGCAAACGTCTATTCTTAAGATCACATGTTGTGAAAAGACAAATCATTAACACCCATTGAGTAACTTCTCTATCAAGCTGCTAACACTAAAATAAGTTTGAGGACACTCACACAAGAGTGGTGCATGGAGCCACCTAGACACCATAGTTGGTCTTTTGTAAACCAGTGTCTCTGTGAAGCTGAGGTTACACGAGTGCTTGGCTTAGCCTGATTTTACTTATGTAATAAACAATGGCATTGTCTTCCTTCCTTGTATTAATTTCCCCCTAATCGGTTAGACGGTTCCTTCCAAACAGACATCACATTGCATTAAAGTGTGTCTGGATTCATTGTGACCGGGCACTGTATTATTGTGCCTTAATCAGACAGTAGTCCTTATGTTACACTGAAAGCCGTGACTGTTATGTTGCAGTGTTTTTAGATGAAGACTGGGCTCTTACGTGGTCATTCTGCTCAGGTCAAAGTCTGGTTATTGGCCCTGCAGCCTGCAGTGTTTGAGGTGTGGTTCTCTGACTTTGCTTCTTATCCACCTGTTGCAGCGTCACCAGAAACGCAGTTATTTGCCTACAGTTTGAATATGTGGGCTGTGGGTACTGGAACAGAACCACACATCTTGTTTTTGTTTTCCAGAAAGTTGAACGTCCATGTTTGGAACCAGACATTTCTTAATCCCGGGGGAAGGGATTAGGTGAAACAATCTTGTTTGATGGAGATTGAGTCTGCTGTTTGTATTAGCCGAGCAAATATCATGAGGAACAACGGTACAAATAAAGCTACCCAGTTGTATTTGTCACACCATTTAGATGAAATGGTTTGTGGTGATTAGTGGATTGGTGATTTATCTATTTCATTTATTTTTTGGTATGTAGAGAATGTTAAGTGAGGGCTTTTCTCATCTGGCATGATATGAGCACGAGAGACTTCTTATGAGAACCAGAAATCCATTTTGTACTCGGGTCTGAAACAACACCCAGTTCAGTGTAGAAAACACCATATGGGCGGAGCAGTACAACTGAAATCACCATATTCATAGTATTTTACAATATACTATATAATTTATATATACAATATACACTCCCTGGCCTCTTTCTTAGGTACATCTATACAAGCTAATGCAATCCAGTACAACAGCTCAGCCACCTATTCTACCTTTACAAAACTTATAATGGTCATGGTTTTTGTTGAAACTCTGAGAATTGTTAATTGAATGATATGTTTATTACTTAGGTCGTAGTTAGAGGTGGTGTTGTACTGGACTGTATTATATTCAAATGGTAGGTGGGCAAACATTGGAAACATGTCATCACAATGTAGTCCGGTTCAACGCCACTGCAAACTACAGCCCCAATAATGAACACATAGCTAAATTAATACCTCTCTGAAACTGAACATTATTATCTATGTAAAGGTAGAATTTGTGGCTAAGCTATTGTATTGGATTGCATTACATTTTATAGGTGTACCTAATAAAGTGGCCACTGAATTTACCATATATCACAATATAGGACATTATAATCACATTGATGTTCAGTATTATGAAATGTGTTTTTTCTGTTGATATTCAAGAACTTCATTTACTTAGTTTGTTAGTTTATAATCAAATTTTGGTTTTAATAATTCTAAATGTTCATATTGCACGTTTGGTCTGACCAAGTCCAAAACCTCTAAAGAAAGAGTTTTCATCACTTAGAACAGCAAATCTTCACATTTCAGAAATGGCGAATGCAACTCCAACAAGTTTCAAGAGTCTGCTTATTGATTTTCATGCTTTACTGGAACGACTGGAAACCAATAGCTAGAAAAATACATTAAAATGTCAAACAGCGTTGTTTGCAGAAAGGCTGATATGTATTGTTAAGTATATGTGATTAGTGGGATTATTTTATTGTATTAGAAAGGAAAGCTAATGTTCCCTGAGTTAATTTATGTCTACTTTATTCACTCTGTATTTTCCCCTTGCATAGTAAATAGGCCAAGTTACATTGTGTTGTTGCCTAATAACACGTTCTGAAATTATTCTGCAACATGATTCCAGTCAACATGTGGTTACTGGTAATTGTGCTTCATTACACATGTGACAAGCAAATGAGCATGAACTCTCCCTGTGTGCCTGTGTGCGAGAAACAAACGCAATGCTAACGAGGAGTGTGTGAAGCTGCAGACCCAGACCCTGTGTGTGTGTGTGTGGGTATAGAACCATATTGCGTTGCTTTTTTTCACAATATGTTCCTTTTTAAATGTCATTAAATAAAATGAAAGCTCCAGTCAGACACCAAGAAATCTGTCTATTAAAACAGGAAAAGGGAAAAGGTAGCAGTAGTTCCACCATATGCTGTTATGTCACACAAACCAAATATCTCAATCCAACTTATAGAAAGCTTTAGTTTTGTATTGTTCTGCTTTAAAATTGATTACTTAGCGGCAGTTGATAGTTTCACAGTTGTTTAATGTCACGTCTTGTAATTTATAATTTTCAGCACATATACTAATATTTACACTAATCATATGAGGCTTAAACCCACAAGGACATGACTACATGTACAAGCAGAACTGTTCAACAAACTGACCTAACAACAGCTTTTCTGCTTTGTTTATTGCTGTGTTACTTTATTCTTCATATTATAAGTTCAGTATTTGCTACTTGAGCATCACAGTCTTGTCTTTACATGTCTGTTGTCTTCTCTGTGAATTGAATGTGCTTGATGTCTCAGGTAATAATAATAATTATAAAAAAAACAGGATCACATGTGCTCTTTATGAAACTGATTAATCTTGCTAGAGTTTGTCAGGCTCATTCAAGGGAGGCTTTTCATAGTAAGCTCTGCTTTTCTGGGCCACCTTTATATAACCCCCCTTAGTTGTCATTCTTAAAAATCTCACATCCGCAATTAGGTAAATGATTGCACTGGCTTAAATGCTGATGAATGTGATACCCTGTGGAAACAGAGCTACACCACATTACACACAGCTTACATCAGCATTCCCTGTTAACTACTAAAAACACCCAACACAGAAATAACAGTTGATGAAGATACTAAAATGATTCCACTGTTACATCTGAGTAATTCCCCTGTGTAAGCATGATACTCTCTGTTTAATCTTTCTAACCCTCTTTTCTGGCATAAGAAGATCTGTTGAAGAGGCTGGAAATGGACAGCAGTTCAGTTGTCCATGAAACAGGTTCCCTTTCAGTCAACACTGTTTTAATGCAGGGCATAATTCAGAGGGAGATCCAATTAAAGGCTGTATTTATCTAGGCTTTACTTAACTCACACAGCCAGGAGAAGTGATCTCTGTAGAGAATAAATGTAGGTAGAGATTTCAAAGAGGCAATGCTTGTATTATAGTATTTATATCATATGTGTGCTGGGCAAATTCCTCTCATTTTGTTGAAATGCAGTATATTTATAAAACTGGGTAACTATTAGCACAAGCAGAAGGGCTGTGGCGAACTATTAAAAAGTAAGAAAATATCAAAAATTGTCCATTTTCCAGAGCCCAAAATTTCTTCGTATTCCAAAATGAAATGGTGGTTAATTGTCTGGATCGGTTTATCAATGAAGCTACTGATCGCTTCAGGGGGAAAAAAGTAATGAATGGTCTTTTAAAAACTAGCAAACAAATGCATATCAGGGATTTACCCAGGAAATTAGTTAGTGGAGGTGGTAAGGATTGGTTTGATATTGGAATGTGCTGCAGAAGTATTCAAATCCTTTACTTAGGTTAAAGTAAATAAATACCACAATGTAAAATATGCTCCATTACAAGTTAAAGGCCAGAATTATTGTATATTGTATAATTATTGTAGTACTAATATATGCTTTAATGTGTAGTAATAATCTTAAATGTCTTTGTTGTGTAGCTTATCTATAAAAAGGAATCTCATCATATATTATCTGTGTGAAAGTGATTTATTAACAAATAAAATTATTGAAGTACTCTAAAATGTAGTATTAAGCAGTTTAAAATTTACAAAAAGTGATGTACAAATACGTCGGAATTTGTAATTCCACCTTTGCTTTGATTAGTCACTCCGAAGCGAATGCTGTCATGTGATTAATCAAACGTGGCCTGCTTAGACCAGTTTCATGACGCATCTCATCTCACCAGTGTAGTATAGTTACTGGATGACGGTTTAAACAGTCGCCTCATATATTTAATACACGGCCTTCGGTGTGTGATGTAACGCCACTGCCTTTTTTCCCACCACTGATAAAGGATTTTACAGTAAAGTACGGAACATCTCGTGTCCTCCAAAATGCAAATATTTGCGAGGAGAAGAGAAGAGAGAGTTTTGTGCCCAGCATGTCCTGCAGTGCCGGAGGTGCTGATAACGGCAAACATGTACCCAGAAAAAAAGTGTTTGAGGTAGTAGAGAGACTGCACACTCAACCAACAATGTAATATAATGAATGGATCAAGGATCTTTTACGCTCACAACAACAAAGTGCTTCATTCTGCAGTTCATCAGCCCCGGTTCATTGCTGCCGGTAACCGTGCATCTATACAAAGTAGCACATGAATATTAGCTCCAAACTCAATATTTAATCTGATTTAGTGTGTTTTTTCTCTTCTCGCATGTTTTGAATCCTCTTTTGAAGGCACTGACCCACGACTAGCTCTGTCATGGCGGGTGATGCTGAACAGATTGCAGTGCTTCTCCTTTCACTTGCCCTTTCCCATGTGGTTATCAAGGTTTTGGTCAGTGTGGCGGCAGGCAGTGGGAGGTGTAGTATCTGTTGTTCTGAGTCAGGTCGTGAGAGGAGAGGCAGAGTCACTGCAGTGTGTGACGCTGCACACTCCATCCCGGCCGTGTGAACACGCTGCGGCTGTCCGCCCAGCAGGAGAAGGAGTGCTGAGAGATGCCTGTGTCGCAGAGAAGCAGCTTAATGTAGTCGGCAGCCTTGGTAACCGGGTGTAGGCGTCCGCTGCTGTTCCTCCCACACGCTCTTGGGTAATACCCTGGCCTGGGGAGAGGTAAAGGAAAGGGTGGGGGGGGGTTATCTGTTCTGAAAAATGAAGACAGTCATCAATTCAGCTACAGTACACCCCTCCCTTGCCTCAGACATCACCTCTTCTCCTCTATGCTCTTTCTTTTTCTGCCCTTCTCCTCTAGCGGCCTCTCTCCATTATAATCCTCTCTTTTATAGTCTAGTAACCCAAGGCAACGCATGAGGCCATGTCTGCTCATGTGTGCGTGAAAAGCGCCTGTTGGTACACAGGGAAAAAAAATAAGGGCCCAAACAAGGCAAACCTTGCTGCCAAAGCTTGATTGGTGCACAAAGGTCATCTTCCTGATGAATCAATGAATCAATCCCTTTCTACCGTTCAACCCGGATGTCGACGACTAAATCCTGGCTCATTATTTCTCAAAGCCCTACTAGGACGCTGATCCCACAATTGAAGTTGGATGCAGAATATGGGCATAACTGAGTAGGATTATCTGCGTAAATAGAAATTAAAGTAGAACTCATTAATAGCTTCACTGTCTGTTTAGGTGAGCAAGAGCGGAATAAATAGATTGACATCCTCCTGGGTTTCACCGTCCAGTCTCTGTTTTAAAGTGCTGTTAAATCAGGCTACTTGTGTATCGTGTTCCTGGCGAACACATTTCCCTCCTCTCTCTCTGTCCTGCCAAGACGTGGCAGCCACAAGGTGTGAAGCCAGATTTCAACATTTCTGGCTCAGGAGGAAAGGTCATTTTCTCCACGTTTGCTTTATCGAATGCTGCCCCAACCTCAGCTCTGTCGGGTACAGAGACACAACACACACACTGATGAAACCGTGGGGTTGGAAGAGGGGCATGACTGCATAACTTGGCTGCTGCATTAAAGACGGAGCTCCCTGATGATTCCTGTATTTAGCATACTGAGACAGTGCTCTGTCATCTACACTTGTATTTTTAAATCTGGCTCAGTTTTCAAGCTGTGACTGAAAACGGGGATTCTGTTTTTGATTGTGTATCTGGGGTTTTCCTTCACAGCATGGCCTCTTCTTTTATTCTTTTTTTAAAAAGACAAATTATTAATTGTCCATTTTCATTGTATTCAGTGCTTATTAAAGAGTTTTATATTGTGAGTCTTTTTTTAACAACTTTTGTAGCTTATTCAAATCGTGTGTGTGTGTGTGTGTTTTGAGTATATGACTTTGTATGTGCACATTTGTAATGTCTGTTCTTTGTCTGTCTGCCACATGTCTGTGTGTGTGTACAGATAATGTTCTGCACCCTCAACACCCACAAGATTGACATGGACAAGCTGTTGGGGGGCCAGATCGGCCTTGAGGATTTTATCTTCGCCCACATTAAAGGGATCAAGAAGGAGGTGGAAGTTTATAAATCTGAAGATGCTCTGGGCCTCACCATCACCGACAACGGAGCGGGATACGCTTTCATAAAGGTAAAAAGAAACGGAAACTCTCATGCTGAACGCTACGACATCAACGTTTATGTCTCACAGTGGAGTTGAATTATGTAACATACAAAGTAAATACAGAGTCACAAAATGAGGCTTGTCAGGGAATTAATTAATATTAATTGAACTGATAGAAAAGGAACTTTTCAGTTGTATTAAGGGTTAGGATTATTATAAACTCCACTGTTTAACTTTTTATTGGTTTAATGTAAACTCAACAATGGTTTGCTTTTGCCAGGTCATGTAGATACTGTGTACCTGCAGTATATGTCTCACAGATGGGGGATGCATGTGGATGCAATTAATAACCATTTTCCTTATGAATCTATTGATTCATTTTTGAACAAATCAGATAATCAATTAGTTTAAATATATTCAAAAGTAATGAAGACTGCCCATCATACGTTACCAAGGCCCAAAAGTAAAGTCTTCAGTTTGCAGATTTTGTTTAACTGAAAAAAACAACTAAAAATGTATGTAAAAGTAAAAAATGTTGGGACGTTTTTACAAGGAAATTAACCAAAAGGATGAACTTATTATGAAACTTATCACTGATTAATCTGTTGATATTACTGTTTAAGAAATCAAATAAGCATCTAATTCTTTCAGCTGTACTCCTATATAATACCAATTACATTATACAGGTAAAGTAGTAAATAAACTGCAAGCTTAATGAGTAAAGTAAACTATTAAAATCAATCAGACTGCTTCTGATAATATTTGATTCAAGATAATTAATGACCTTATTGTGGATGTCACAGCGTGTAGAAAACAACAGTTAAATAGATGTTTTGCAGTAGATCGACTTGTTTGCATGACTGCCATATTTAAAGCAATTGTATAAACTTGATTTCATAGTGGAAATCATCTTTCAACTTGACATGTTGCCTTTGTTGATGTAGACGGGTCTAATGAACTTATTTGGTCTCCAGTCATCTTACTCCACCATAACAAAGTGCTCACATGTGCCATCATGTGATGCCGAGACGGCACTGCATCCATATACCTTGACAGTGTTTATGTCTCGCTGATGCTTTTGTAGTATGCAAACTATTAAAGAGATGCTGCACCTTTGAACACGTCAGGCCAACATTTACAGATTCATTTATATTTGACCTTTTTGATTTCTGGAAAATGTAACCACTTTATCCCTTCCAACATCTTTATCTAAACTTCTTCTAAACTTCAGAAGACAAATAATCGAGACTAATTTCTATCACAGCTGGACTGTTTCACACTTTCTCGTGCAGTGAAATGTTGATGTTGACAGGTTTATGGAGCAAAATGTAGGCCAGGAAGCATTTACCAGGTCTAAAAAAGAAAATGCATTGAAATGAACATGTTCACTATAAAATATTTTGTCCCACGATGGAGGAAAAAAGACCAGGGAAGTATCATTCATAATCAAAAACTCTCAAACCCATGCAGTGCAGACGCTCCTAAGCTGGTACAGTTCATCTGTTTGCATCAAAAATGTTTTTCTTTTTTAAGCTTCTGAAGTCTCTTGATATTTAGTTTTCCATTAAAGCCAAAACTGATTATCTGGTTTCACATGATGAAAGAGCAGTATTTCCCAAGATACGCCCACACACTCTCTTGGTTTGTTTGCTCTCTTGTTTTGATTGGTATTTTTGTCATGCGTTGCTTGGAAAAAACCTTCAAACAAACCTCTCATTGTGTGCCACTTCAACATGTATGACGTAATGTTGCTGTCTTTTTATTATATTTGTCTCTACTTTAATCCATTTTCTGTTCTCCCCTTCTCTATCTGTATGGCAGCGAATCAAAGAGGGCAGTGTTGTGGACAGGGTGAAGGTGATCTGTGTGGGTGACCACGTAGAGTGCATTAATGGACGTAACATCGTCGGGACAAGGCATTATGAAGTCGCCCGCATGCTTAAAGATTTGCCCAAAGACAAAAATTTCACCCTGAAACTGGTTGAGCCGATGAAGGCCTTTGGTGAGTAAGAAAGATGATATAGAGTAAGTGTAGGTGATCACACATCAGCATGTTTCATAACTGACCCACATAGTAAACTGACTACAGATTCACCTTCAGGATTCAGTGACTACACATATGCGAGCAGAATCTTGTGCTGCAGTGGTTCTCAGCATTCAGGCCAGGACGCCAGAGCTCATGAGATCATTTTGTGCATTTACAGGATTAATTTCATAAGAAAAACGAATTTTGAAAAGTGCTTTAAAATGTGGCAACTGGCAAATTATACCTTGGTTCAATGTTGTGGCGTGGTATTTTTTTCAGGACAATGAACAGCTTAGACAAAGCATAGCTGGTAGTGTTTTCACTTCACAAGTTCACTTGTGTTTATAAACAGCACAGTTTGCAAAAAACGTGACTTTCTGTAATATTGTTTCCCCTCTGATTGACAGAAATGCTTGAGCCCAGGTCAAAGGGTGCCAAACCTGCTGGTGACAACAAGATCGGCACAGGGAGGGGGACTCTGAGACTTCGATCCAAGGGCCCAGCTACTGTAGAGGAGGAGGTAAGTTTCTTTAGGTGTGACATATCAAGAGTGCAAGTGTCAGTTAAAAAGTAAACAATTGGCCAACAAAATAATGTAATACTGAATGATTAAAACTGAGTTGTTTGTGTTTTTCTAGCCAACAGAATTTGAGGAGAAGGCCGTGAAGAAAGTGGATGACCTCCTGGAGAGCTACATGGGCATCAGAGATACTGAACTCGGTGAGTATACAGTAAATATTCATGAACATGAGCAAGTACGAAGAACAAGCATTGAGATGTCAGAGAGATCAGATGATGATTTACCTTTTTTCATACTTAATGTATCATAATGACATTACCTGCAAAATAATTATCTTAAGCTGATGATACACAGGGCAACTTTTTGAGCAATGTTTCTGGGCAATGTTGCTGGTGGAAAGTCCGACTATGTTTTGAACGGATAGCGGCGGGGCGGAGAGGCGGGGGGAGGTTATTGCTGTAGTAATCTTTACTCATTACCATTCACGGCAACATTGCTCAGAACCATTGCTCTAAAAGTTGCTCCGTGTATTATAAGCTTAAGGTTAATTGCCAAGTCTTTCTAGAATACATATATGTTAAGTGATTTGGTTCAAAGTCATTCTTCTAGCAGAGGTCTTTAAAGAAAACAGCTGATATATTGCATATTAATGAGGCTTCTTTAATATCATTTTAGAGTAAATGATTTGATATGATGGGTTAATATCCAGTTTCAGCCAAGTGATTTAGGCCTCACTTAATCCTATTTGTGACCTCAGTCTGTATGTTTAGACATTGTGTGTGATTTAGTCATAAACTGTTCCCTAAAACAAAATATTATTTTATCAAGCCACTCCTCTGTACTCTGCAGCCAGGAGCTGTGGCCCTCGCTGTCTGTGGAAATATTGCATTTAAACATTGGTTTCGATCCGGGCAAAGATTTTATCATTCAGGGCAGACAGTAGATATCTGTGAGACCATGAATAGACCATTGAAGGTTAAACCCACTGCTGGATAACATCTAAAATAGATTAAAAAAATAATGGTCTCTTTATAAGTTTAATTAAGAGCAAGGAAATCCTCTCACTCTTAAGCTCTTACTCAGTGACGTATTCTGATCTTCCCTCTTCAGCTGCTACGATGGTTGAGGTTGGCCGTGACAAGAAGAACCCGGATGAATTTGCCATGGCGTTAGACGAGACCCTCGGAGACTTCGCCTTTCCCGATGAGTTTGTCTTTGATGTCTGGGGGGCCATTGGAGACGCCAAGCAGGGAAGATTTTAAGTTTGCCCCCACCCCTTAAAAAGAAAAAAAAGCCACACACACACACTCCTTCCCTCCTTCGCCAACTCACCTCTTAATATCCTCAGAAGCAAACTGGACAAACTTTGACTAGCACAAACAGGGGCGGATGATGTGTTCTTAGGTGTAGCTTTGTACTAGGATGGAGTGTCTTAAAGCGGACTTGGTCATGTGGGTTTACGTAAGGAATTTAACATGTCAGCGTTTCAGTGTCATCTTGTAAAGGTATCCATGAAATGTGGAATGCAGTTTCCAACACTGGACATGTCTCCTGCAAGCTGAAGAGTTGGTGATTATTTCCAGATGTTGTTTAAACCTTTTAAAGACCCCCTGAGCTGTATCTTAGAAAGCTCATGATGCTGTTCTTCTGTCAGAACAGAGTCAACAGCGGTCTATCACACACTTATGAAATGGCATTAAATGAAAAAAAGAATCACTGTTTTAATCACTATATCACTGTATCATTTTGAATATAAAGATGTTTCACACAGCTTTTTATAGGCTTTTTTATATGTAAAAATGTCGCTGATTTTACAGCAGCAGCGTTGTGTAATTACGGTGATTAGTAGCAATATTTTCCCCTCAGCAACCTTTTAAACTTTTTATTTTTTAAATGACCTCACATTGTAGCCAAAATGTCAGCTATTTGGCCACGTTCACATTGTTGTGAACTCTTCTGTCCATCCACACGTCAGGTTGAGCCTTTCGTCCATCTGTCAGAGACGGAGCAGAACAAAAGGGTTTTATCTTTGAATGTCTTTAGCTAAGTTCGACGACACACATTCCACTGACATATCTTATGTTTGTCATGTTGTTATAGTCTGTAAACACTGTTCACATGTCATGAAATGAGGCTTATTAAGAGATGCACGCCTGTAATTTATGTCCTCATGAAAAATCACATGCTGGAAGACCTTTTTACACTAATAAGTGGCTCACTATGAAAGGTTAGGAAAGGTTCTTTCCTATATAAAGCCATTTTGAAGGCTGTGTCTGGAATGGGATCAGTTGCAATTCAATGTCCTAAATAACTGCACTATTTAAATCACTGTCAAACTGAATTTAAATAGTGACTTGATTAGTGTCATCTACTGCTAACTGTTTGTAGCAGTTGCATATTGTTTGACAAACCATAAGGGATCACTATTGTTGGATAGACAATAAAATTTGATATACTATTACTACAACTGTGTCATGAATGCATCTGGCTGACAATAAATGAAAACAATTAACAAACGACTCCGTACGACAAACTTTATTTGTACACTTGGCTGTGTACATGTATAAAATACATCAAGACACTTCTTAACCAATGTTTTTATCCCACATTCAAAGAGGTAAAAAAAAAAAAAGAAGAACCGAGTGGTGTCACTTCACGAGCAGCAAAACAAACTCAGAACAGGAAAGTACTGTTATAGGTAAATAACACAATTTGGCAGGATTAAATGAATAATGTTTAAAAGACTGGGGATAACAGAAATGAGAAGTACAGAGTCCATGTTGTAGTACATGGTAAATATTGTCACAGATATAATTAACATACTGTAGAGGATCTTTGGAAGCACATCACTGAAGGTGTTAAATATTTATCTTGACTAATATGAAGTACTATATCACTGCTGTTGGGTGAAAACGTAACTCTACTGGTTAAAAACCAAAAACATGGCACTTTCCAGATGTAAATTTTCCATCCAACACCAGCATATCTAAGTGAGAGTTAATAATAAACTTGGCTAACTTGAGTTGGTTATATCCTCTACAGACAGTAAGTACAGTACATGTTTAATTAACAGTAGATTACAAATACATGTTTTAAAACAAAGACAGGAAAAGGAGTCGTCATGTAGGAAAAACCGTACAGGACCGAAAGTACTCAAGCACCGTCGCCTTTTTAATGGTTGGCTTGGTTTGGTCAGTGACATGGACCAGACTGTCTAAAGTGTGAGTATAAATGGTGAAAGGGGTTGTTTGATGGGAGCTCTGAAGCGCAGGCTCAGGTAGAGAAAGTGTAGCCCTTACAGCCTAATGCCCGTTCCTGCCTCCTCACAGCTCATCTCCAGTGTGACCCTGCTTGAAGGCGTCGCCCGTCAGCTTCTCCTGCGCCTCCTTCATACCGGACACAACTGAGCAGGATGGAATAAAAGGCAGAAAATATCAACTGCTTTTTAAAGGGAATTTCCACCTCAAATGTGAGTCATCTGTAATCCCAGCTATCATTTTTGAATATATCACATGTAACAGAATACTTTCCGTAGGTAAATGATAATCTGGATTTTTACCTTGTTCTGCGCTGCTGTAGAAGTACTTGTAGTTTGGATTTCCGTTCTTATTAGTAATTTCAGGATGGACTTTGCCGCTGGGATCTGTGAGCGGGTAACAAATAGTGAGTCAAATAAAAAGCTATGGTCGGTTCAAATTAAAGTTAAAATCCATACAATATAGGACAGCAACCAGCCACTGTTTTCTTTATGAATCAATCAAAAAATTACTTTTACAATCGTGTAATTATTTGGTTTATAAAATCCAAGAATATTGTGAAAAATGCTACTAACAACTCCCCAAAGCAAACAAGGAAATATTTCTAAATTGTATTGAAATGTATTTAACATTATAACAATATTCTGCATCCTGGAATAACATCTGTGTGATTTGTTCCTTTATTCTTTACACACAGGTTGTATTTAACATCACATGTGATATTCAAAATCACTTTGTTTTCTTTAATCCAATCAGATGTTGACTAATTGTACCTGCTATTTATTCTTATTTACCTGTAAATATTTTTAACTCTGTAATCCAAATGCCAGCAACATGCCAATGAAACTTAAATCCAGCCTACTGAAACATTATCGGGCACTGCATGTTATTCAGGAAGAGTAACTGTGTTATCAGGAATCCCACAAAGTGTTTACATTAAGGGTGACTCAACCCCCTCCGTACCAAGGAAAAGAATCCGAGGAATGTATCCACCATCGGGGCTTAAGGTTTCATCCTTGGGCTCCTCATCGTCCTGTTCAAATAAGAGACAAGTCGTCATTTACAAGCTTGGAAACAAGTGTCCGCCGCCTAATAATGTGTGTTAATGTTGGCTTTGTGGGCGTAATCATAAAACACGGAAGCGCAGGTGAGAGGAAAAAAAAAAAAAAAAAAGATAGAAATGAGTGTATAAAATAAAAGTAATTGAATCTCCCCACAAATACAAACTACATTGCAGTTCATATGAAATATTTTTTGAAATGAACAGTTTGCTGGGAAATGTCAATTAACATTTCCTTACCTCAAGGTTGATCATAACAAAGTTGTGTGCAAGTTCAGAGATTTCTTTGGACTCGGCAAATTTGGGTTTCAATGCTGATGAAAAAGCAGCAAAAAACATGACTGTTATTGTGTGTCGCCATCAAATCCAGGACAAATCATATTGATTATTAACACAAAACAGTACTGGCCCTGCTTCTTTGAAATTAAATGATTAATCTGTCAATCTTCCACTTTCCCGACAGTCCTTCCAGCCCTAGAGCCATTACCCCAGGCAGCTTTAATAATCAATTCCTGTTTGCCCACATTCCAGGTGGTGATTTGGTTGAGCTTGTAGGATAAGCTTACTAATGTTTATTCATTTGCATATGATATGGTTTGACATTCATGTCACGTTGAACTGAAATATTATTTTCCCCAGTGTCATGTAGTGCCGTTTTACTAAAGTTATTATGCCTTTTAAATACAAAAACTATATTCCCTTCTAGCCCAGTTGCTTTAAGTCTAAAGTACCATATAACTGACGTGGTGTCCGTTGACTAACATTCAGTCGGTGGGTATCAAAAAATATCTCTGTTACCCAGCAAGAACACTACAAGACTAAGACTTGAATATCATAGTGCAGACCACTAACCTTTACCTACTTTCAAGGTCAAGTTAATAGATCTTTTTCATGAAAGGCCTTTTTCCATGTCACAGTAGGAAATAATAAAATGAACAACAAGTGAATTCCATTTAGCTGCTTCAGTTTCAGGGTCCTGCATCACCGTTAGAGCTCGCACCTTAGTGGGACACTTAAATAGAACACTAGAGCCACCGTTAATGTGACTTACGCCTGTGCTTTTACTGTTATGACAAGACGAAATGTCTGCTGTTAAAAAAAAATGACTGGTCATTACAGTCCACTATCTTAAAGTTATCTTAAAGAGTGTATATGTGTCGTGTCATGTAAAGTACTGCTCTCTTTACTGTTTTTGGGAAGCATATTTCTGAGTAACAACTCTGTCTTTTGGACTGATTTATTGACGTTCAATGGGAGAATGATTTAGTTGACTAAAACCTGAATCACTGAATCACAAAAGTCACAACAACCAGGCTACATTTATCTGTTAAAGTAATGTTTTTTTAGACCTAGAGTAAGTGTCCGGCACGTAAATATTTCTAATCTTACTAGTTCAGTAAGACACCTTGTCATTAGGAAATCCTAACCTGAGGTTTTAGTATGTAAAAGGGGGATAACATTGTTTTACCTTTGCAGGCTCCACACCAACTCTTGTGGATGATGAGCATGATTGGCAGCCCGCTGTCAATGCAAACCCATTAAAACATTTGTCAAGATCAAAACTCTACACGGGAGAGAAACTGAAAACTTGTAACTCGGACATCAGCTCGTCAGAACTGCAACTGCAGTAAATGAAAATATACACTCTAATATACACTAAACAAAACAGTATGTGAAGCTACTGATAGAAACTTGTCAGTCTGCTCCAGTCATTAGTGAAATGTAGATGCGAGGGATTTCTTTAAAAGCTGTTTCAGACCTCAGGGTAATAGTTGTACAAAAGATGGCTCAGTATGGTTAGAGGAAGTGTAATATTTAAGCTCTCTGTGTGAACTCACCTGGCCTCAGCTTCCTTTTTGCCATCATCCAGCGTCCTCCAGTGGATGTTATCTCCAAACCCTGTGGGTGGGGATGAATGAATGAGCACACCAGCATTGTTTAACTGGTATTATATTTCTACAACAGGGTGGGTCTGTCCTAAATACAGTATCAACAGAAATAACTGTGAGGGAACTATGGCAAAATGACAAATTAATAGTGGTAATTTAATATCAAGCTGCAGGGAAATATCGACTCTGCTCTGTCACCTGTTCCACTTATAGTAACTAGCTTGTAGGTTTATATGGTAGCGGTGGATAAGTAATCAGTACAGCAATAGACTATATTTTTGGCTTTATCTGTCTTACATTTGAAGGATGTTGTTTGTGTACTCAGAGACAATTGATGATGTCATTGGAACAAAAAAGTACCATGTGGCTTTTATTGTAAGTAACATTTCTTGGTGTGACTACTGTACATTGTATAGTATGGTATGGCATAAGTATGTCTATTTATGTAAAAACAATACATATGTATTCATGAGAAGCACGTGTGCAAGCAATTCTTTTTTTAAGTAATTAAATTTCCTTCACAGTGGGAACTTTAATGTACAATATCTGGGTAAAGGATGTAAGCTTCTCCACTGTACAGAAACATTTTTTTGCAATTAGGTGTCAATAACACCAAAGAAATGCGGAATTAATCTGAGTAATTATATCGAGAAAGACTGCCACTAAAGGCAAAGCTGTAATGTTTAGGACTAAAACTTTTAGAATTAAGTGTATATTCCTCTTCCAATTACACATGTATCACAATGTATCACAGATCATGAGTATTGCATTACATCTTATGATCCCTTTGCTATTAAAGACAACTCATAATGACTAAAATGTCTTGTTACTGTATGATTTCTGCTTCAACTTTAACAATTTGTGCAAAAGCAGTGTGCAGTGTGTACATCCACCTTGAGAACAGTGTGTAACAAAATGATTAAAGAACATAAGCTTTAGATATAATATAATTAAGCTTTCTGGTATCAGTAATATACTATACTATATAATGAAAACGCTGTTGTTCATCAGGGTTCAGTGTTTGTGAGAAATATTTAAATAACTTTTCATTCTTTATCCTACATGGATCTCATTCAGCTTGTCAATGTAGGTTTTGAAAAAAGAAATGACCAATCAGAGCTATATGCCTTTTAACCAACACAAAACTGCAAAAATGTATCTTAATAACATCTCTTTGCTTAATGTCATTCCTCCATGCAGTGTGATACACTCTTTTTTATGCTTGTATTTTGTAACACTGATGCACCTTTTCTATACAGCAGTGGTGAAAATACAAAAGTATTAGCAGTACTCATGCTTATATATTACTAGATTATAACTACTAATGCATTAATCTCAAAAAATGGAAATATTCAAGGAAATTACCATAAAACTGTACTTAGGTTCTTAACTTGGCTGCTTTACAGTTTATTTCATTGATTGTAATGTGTGCCATGCACCTGTATGTATATTTGATTATTTTAGTAAATAAACAATATGTATATATTTATTTCTATTATGAATACCAAAAATATTTTGCAATGTTTACAATATTAACAATAAAATAAATTGGTTAACCTGAAAAACTGGAAATTCAAAATGCATGCCTGGCCGACAAAGCACACCTCGTCACCGTCATCAAACTACCTGTCCAGGACACAGACTTTGTGATCCAGGATGCTGATACAAAGACAGCTAGCCTAACTTAGCTCTCCTCCGCCTGTGGTAACACTATCAATGACCGTGCTACACACCGCTGTCCTGCTCACAATCGCTTCACTTCATGCATGAACTCAAAAATATAAACCCACCTCTCCCGCTGGCTGCTTCGACAACCTCCTGAAAACACGTCAAAGACAGCAAGACCTGCAGAGACGAAAATAAAGCGATGTTTACAAGAGACGTTTGCATTTTCACTGGCCTATTTTCGCACACAACTACGGCTAGAAGCTAACGGCAGCAGCTGTTCGTGAACCGAGAGACCCGGACGTTCAACCGTTACATTTCACAATAAAAGTATTTTCACAATAAAGTTGTATGTTGAAATGTGCGTGCGCGCGCGCATGTGTGGCAGTTACCTCCCCCCCTTTTACGTGACGTCACATCCACAAAACCGCGTGCTCTTGCCTGCGGCCTCGGCTGGTCAAGTTAGACAACGAAATGCCAGGAAAAGACCGGAAAGTTGCGCGAAACAAATTTTAAAAGCCACAAAAATATTTCTAGAATAAACACATTCAGGTATTTCACGTATTAAATCCAACCTAAATATATTACACGTTATATCTTTTCTCCTTTACCATTGATGTGTTCCCTGATAAAATCAAAAGTGTCCTGTTGTGTGAGTCAGGGCACTTTTATTGTGAAAACGTTAATAGGAAGTATATTTTTTATTGCTGCTGCTTGACGTTGCTTTAAGCTGCACGTCTTCAGCCTCATTAGTAGCGAGAACAGTTCAGCGGACTGTTAGTTAATTCCTTGTCAAAGGTAAAAAATCGCCTCATTTTGTGGTTAACATTGGAGCCGATTTGTTTTATCATTTGATTTGAAGTTGACGTTAGTTGTTTGACTTGCCGGGAACAAAAAGCCAGTTCGTTTATCTTGTTTCTTCAGCCGTTATGCTAATATTAGCTAAATTAGCCATCTGGTTAGCAACAGCTAACTAGCCACAGTTACGTTAGACAAAAATGTCATTTTAAAAAAGTGTCTCAGTCTAAATACTTTTCTTTATCCTATTTAATTTATGTTGGTCAATGTCGTCAGTATGGCTTCAGTATCACTGTCAGTTAATCTGTTAGCCGTGTGCTAACTCAGTGCTAACGTTAATGTGTGGAAATGAGGATTATTGTAGCTCTGATTGCTTAACGTTAACTTGTTCTGTGTTCTCTGCATTTCACCAAGTTATCACATTTTCTCCCTTAAACTGCTTGTTGTTTTCTGACCTGTGAAAACTATGAAAATAACATAATGTTAAAGTTGTTGTTTTATTTTAAAACAGAACACTATGAATCAAGAAAAGCTTGCTAAACTTCAGGCACAAGTCCGGATAGGTGGAAAGGTAACCACTACTGTTTTTTGGACATATTATTAAATCTTTTACTTTGTTAGCGTAGTAATGTTGATACATGTCAAATATTCAGTGTTGAAATCGCAATCAAGGCTTTCAGTTGTGTCCTGTCGTTGGTTCAGTTGTTCATTTTAAGGAGAGTGATAGTATTCAGCATCTGCTAGGTCTTTCCTCCTGACCTCAGCATTCCCTTTATGGGAGAGAGCATTAGCCCCTTCATCTGGGGCCTCTAGGGCTTTGTTCAGATGTATTGAGAGGTCTCCAGCCTCACACTAGGTGGCGTTATTTCTTATTTTTGCTGTGACGGGGCCTTTTTATAAACAGTCTACAGACAGCGCCTTGTGCGATTTCCCACACTGACAAATACAAAATATATTTACTTTATTCATATTCTACCAGAAGTAACAAGAAGATCCCACACACACTGTCAGCTACTTGTACTCACAAAGAGTTACTTCTCAGTTTAGAGTTTTTGATCCTGGGCATTCGTCAAACATAATTTATTATAATTGTCTAGATCTTTGTTGAAGTCAGTACTTGAGTAGTAAAATCCACAGTTAAGTAAAAACAAAGACCTCGTTTTTTTTATTTAAAAAAAATATGGAGGTGGGAGATGGGATTGACTTTTAGGACTTCTGAAGCTTGTTCAAACTAGTGGGGGGGGGGGAATGGAAATGGCAAAAATAAAGTATCTAATATAAGGTTAAAAGCCAGATCAGCTTATTTGCTGCAAATTACCATAGAGTTTTCCAAGTCCCTTTTAACTTCTTATTTCTAGTCATGTACCCACAATAATAAAAGCTTTCTTGTACAAAGCACTGTGGCTTGGACTTTTGAGGAATCTGTTCCCTTTCTTGTGGACAGTATTTAGCTTACTAATCATCATAGTCAGATCCAAGTAGTGCTTCCTTCACTGTTTTTTAATGCAGTCATCCTCCTTTCCTCTGTCCTTTCAACTTATTGACAGGATTAGTAAGTAGGCAAATGTACTGTATTTGTACCCCTTTAGTAAAAGCCCTGTTTTGGTAAAAGTACAATTTAAAAACACTAAACAGAATGTAAAAAGCTGCTCTTTTACAGTACAATAACAGGTCATTTGTAGTGTTGCACATTCCAGTCTTGAATTTGAAACTGCTGTTATCTAGAAATTTGTAAATAATGTGTCCAAGTTTATAATGGGAAAATGGTCCCTTGTACGTTTAAGTCTGACGTTAAGTGGTATTAACTGTATTTGACATTTTGGTCGATTCAGTTATCTAATCCTTTTTTGGCGTCCACACCTATTCTCTCCTCAGGGAACGGCCCGCAGGAAGAAAAAGGTTGTTCACAAAACGGCAACAGCTGATGACAAGAAACTCCAGGGCTCACTGAAGAAACTGGCAGTGAACAACATTGCAGGGATCGAAGAGGTGAGCTATCAAAGGCAAACTAATGTCAGCGTTGTACTGTAGCTGTCGCCTTTCTTTTTGTCTTTTTTTTTGGGTCGTCTTTTTTTGAGAGTTCCGATCAGAAAAGATTAATGACAGGGCGAGCCTTACCAACATGTTCTCCAATCAAAAGCATCTAGTTTATTTTTAGAGTGCTTTTATCCAACAAGCTCCCACAAAGTGTTTCAGATAAATCAAAGCACAAAAATGGGGTTAAAACTTAAGGATGAATCACTAACCTGATGCACAAAATGAACGTTGTCTCCTTCATTCAGGTTGTGGCTGAATTTACATTTTATATTTTACAGTAAATGAATGAAATTGTTAAGATAATCACTGCAAATAAGATGTAATTTAAGGTCTAAGTTTTTTTTCTTTTATCCATAGCGATAGAGGGTGTTATATCTCCTTTGAGGCAAATGAAGATTTTGGGCTATAAGTATAAAATATATATTTTATACTTTTGTGCTGTTGTAATTGATGCACAGTTGTTTTTTTACATGTCAATTTTTCAGTTGACACCAAAAATAATTTAGGCATTAAAACAAAGTACTACAGACGTAATAATGCCTTGATGGTACACAGTCTTGTGTCAGGTTTTGATTGGCTAGTTTTTTTTTCCCACTTCAGGTGAATATGATAAAAGATGATGGGACGGTGATCCACTTCAACAACCCCAAAGTGCAGGCGTCTCTGTCTGCCAACACCTTTGCCATCACGGGCCACGCTGAGACCAAGCAGCTGACAGAGATGCTGCCGGGCATCCTGAGCCAGCTGGGAGCCGACAGCCTCACCAGCCTGCGCAAGCTGGCCGAGCAGTTCCCGCGGCAATGTGAGTCACACGCATGCGTCAACACTCACAGTCGCAACGTCGGAGTTCTCTGTGGTCGTGTAATATCAGGGATTTTCGTAGAAGCTGAGTGGGGTCAGCAAAGTCATCAACTTTTTAATGAATTGTTAGATGAGCAGGACAGATGATGTAGTAAGAGTTCAGGTGCTGAAATGTTAGTCACGTGGTCATTAAAGGCCGCAGGTCGTGGTTGAACTTGCCTAAAACAAAAACACAGTTGAAAATGCTGCCTTTAACATACCAGTGTCCTTAGGTAGATTTGTGTGACAGCTTTGTGCAGCCGTGTGTTTGTTTAGAATCACTGGAGAACCAGAGCAGGTTAAATCTGTACGTGTGACCCAGAGAAACTGGTTATAGCAGCGACAGAAACTGAAGAGAACAACAAGCATTGTGAGGAAAGGGCAAAAAACTGCAGCAGGCAAAGTGTGGACATTTAGAGACTGATTATTAATAAAGGTGCAGATATCTTGCACAGTCTGAGAAGCTAGACGATTAAGTTTGTACATGGGAAATGGGTGCAGCTTTTCTACACGGCAACAGCGCCAATTATGTGATATTGCAGACAGTTGCACAGTGAAGGCTGATGAGCAAAGGATTCAACCAGTTCTGCTAGTAGACGTGTGCAAACAAGAGCTGCAACTGTCAAAACAGTCTCTTCACAAGGGTATTGAGTTTGGCCTGGTGTCATGGAATTGTAGATGTTGTATTTTTACTTTTCTGAGCAGCACTATTTATTTAATTTTTGTGCAAGTGTTTATTTCAGTGGCCTGGTGTCTTCAGAGTTTTTGCAAAACAAGATATTGAGTCTGGGAATTCGGGGGGAAACGATGGGACTTGTTAACATAAATATGTATTTATTCTCACAGAATTTACTTTTCCCAATTATCAGCTCAACTTCTGATTCACCGTATATTTATTTTTTCCCGTTATATATTTTGTAGCAATGGACATGAAAGCAGTCAAGGAGGAAATTGCAGAAGAAGAGGACGACGACGTACCAGGTACATTTGTAGATAGTTGTTGACATTGACGTGTTGTTCATCATGCTTTTTTGGCTTATGGTAAAACTTGGTGCTGCTTCTCCTGTTAAACGTCACCTTTGTAGATTATAAAAGGGTTTGATTGCAAAATACTACGTTTACTTCCGATTGCGTTACTATTTTGCGAGTTAAGAAAATAAGGCATTCTCCAACTAAAGAGTTGATATAAATAATTTGAAAACAAGGATGCGGACAAAATGGTCCAAAGACGCCTATTTTGAAATGGTTTGTATCAACTCTTCAGCTGCAGAATGTTAGAAATAAAGATGTTTTTTGACAATAATATCACAAGTCACCTGATGTACTTTGTTTTCTTTCTTCCAGAACTCGTGGAGAACTTTGATGAAGCCTCAAAGAACGAAGCAAACTGATGAATCCTAATTTTTTATTTTATTTTTTTCTCCCTCCATTAACCGTTTTATTTTTTACCTCTTACGGACTCACAAAGGGCATTTCCTCTTGTGGGGAAACGGTTGTTAAAGGTGCAGCGTATCTTCTCCGGAGATGTGAACCACCTTTGGTTTAGCCTGCCATGACAGCACAACAGCAACATGCAGATAACATAAGTCTTGATTTCAGTAGGCTGCGATATTGTGGACACGCCGAAGAAACGAGAATCTGTACGACTCTCAGCACCCAAAGGACTCAAACTACTTTGGAGATAAGCTTTCTACATGGTTAAACGTGGCTAGTATTTAAGAGATTGTTTATTAAATTACAATTTAAGTGAGCGAACAATTCACTTTACAATCGAGTGGTGATTTATAAATTTAATAAAACATTTTTGGGCTATTGAATCTTCTCTATTGATCTTTTTGTGTTTTATTACTCCCCAGATTTGTTTTGTCAACTCAATGCCAGCTAATGGCGAAACAGAAAGTCAACAGTATTGTATTTTCCTCAGCCATTTAAATTTTGTATCGGTTTGATAAATTTGCTAACTGTTTATGTTGCTATGAGAATTTGCGCTAGTGCTGATTGAATGAAATCAAGCATAACATCAATCAGCAGTGATGGAAGAAGATTCAGAAGTAAAAATAGCAACAGAACAATAAATACTTACATTGTCCATTACAATAAAAGTGGCCCCTACTAGTGTTATTATTTATATTTTATTATTTTAATGGATCTTGTCAAGGGGGCTTATTTTAAGGAATATATTTTATGTTAAATGTTTTGCCATTTTTAAGTAACATGCACTAATCTGCAAGGTAACTATTAACTACAGCTGTCAAATACTGACTATTGGTCACAGAAAATAAGTTACTTTATTAATTACCTTGGGTTCAAGTAACATCGAGGGTTACTTTTTTTCTATTTTACAAAGTAGTTCAATCTATAATAAAAATAACAGTATTGGCAACTATGATTGGGTGTAGTAAATCAGGAGGGGTTAACAGCGTTTGGGTGGGTCGTGCACATCACTACATCACCGCCAACGCTGTCACATCCCGTTTCATTGATCACTTCTGACGCTCCTCTGCTGCATCGTGCTGATCAATGGGCTGCAGCTGTCATTCTCTGCGCCGCAGTTGAGGTCTGACAAGGTTACCGGGGATGAATGTGCCATTTCGGCAGGAGTCTGTCGTGCCCTGAGCTGGACGGAGCTGCGGACCCGCCCCGGGGCTCACCACACCACCTTCAGTACCGCTTAAGCCAAAATGTCCCTGCTGCTGCTGCTGCTGCTGCGGCGGGACCACAGTGCAGAGGTGCATGGAGCCAAAGCGTTTTACTGCTGCGTCAAGATGGACGGTGACAGCTGCATCCAAACCGGAAACTATATGCTGTCGTCTTAAAATTAAGAGCTCCTAAAAACTTTTTGATTAAAACAATATTGAGATGATTTGTGTAAAGGACCAGTGAATCAATTTTTACTGGGATGATTTGTCAAATGGTATTGGAATGTGTAAGCTACATTTATTCTAGTACTGTGCTTGAAAATTCTGAACAATTTTGAGGTACTTGTACTTCAGTTGTAGACTACTTTGTACCTTTATTTAACTTACTACATGTTAGAGGAAAAATATTTACTGTTATTATACTGCTTCCACCAGCTACAACATTAAAATGCTCCTTACACATTGATATACCAGTAATAACAATCCAATAATGAAGTATACACTATAATGCTGAGAGGGGCAATTCTGCTGAATAATTAGGTTGGTTTTTTTTATACTTTAAGTACATGTTTTAAGACATTTAAAATACTGCTTTTAATAATAATTTGTAATGTATACGTGGCGATGGAACAGTGGACAAGACACCTTTGGTGTGGGAGATCTGAGTTTGGCAAGACACTTAACCCCTGGTTGCTCTAGAGGCCTGGAACCTCAGTCCACATGTGTAAGTTGCATAGTGGACCACAACTGGCTTCTAAACCATGAGTTCTTATGTCACAAATGTATCTTGTATGTTCATGTCTTAAACACAGATTTAAAGTGAGCACTTTCACCTTTTAAGCTGATGAAGTGTCAAATTCTGCACCGTGAAGGTCAAATATCCAAGAGAAGTAACAACAAGCAACATTTTTGAGTAGAGGGGGACTTTAAGTAGAATTTTGATTACAGGGGTATTTTGACATTTTAGTATTACCTTTGCTTATTTAAAAGATCTGAATACTACTTCCACCTCTGTTTATTGCATAGTGTAGCTCAGTGGTTCTCCCTTGCACATCAGGGACCCCTAAACTGACACAAATTAGACCATGAACCCCAATTGATAAGAGTTTGTCCCAGGGTCCCCCCAATTGATTGCATTTTTCTTTTAGATGTTGTACAGAAAAACTATGACTAAAATGATGATGCATTCAGTCTTTTTGTTGGATGGATGAAATAATTGTGAAAATAAACTATTCCCCTTTTTGCTGGGGACCTCCTGGAACCCCCTCCTAACGACCCCACTTTGAGAATCACTGGTGTCGCTACCATAGACTTTACAGAACAGGTGGAAAGGAAGTTTATTTTGAAATGCATAACCGGAAGTAACAGATTTCCATTCTGGCTGTCTTGACGTTTCTCCTTATTTTTCCCCAATATTAAACCTTGGGGGAGGGATCCTTGAGCGCTGTCGCACATTTACGGTAGACTACAGGCTGTACTTTCAGACTTGCGCTGTTTGAGTTGAGCAGGGAGCGGAGAGTCTGCACGAGGATACTCAAAAATAGCTTTGAAAGGCGATTAGGTATGACGGATACTAATGGAGGGGCTCCGCGGGACTCTACGTAAAGATGAGGATTCCTCCGGTGAGTAACTGGATTTGTTTTCATGACATTTCACAGGTCTGTTGTTGGTCTAACGTTACAGCCCGCCATTGCAACGGCAAGTGTTAACTAAGCCTAAGTCAGTGTGGAGGGTGTTGTGGTGTTTTACGGTCTGTTTAGTTAGCTCAGCGGTTAAGGAATGACGAGAAGGTGGTGTTACGGTATCACTATGTTACGTCAACTGCACAACACGTTAACGTTCTCCCTAGCTAATCACTCACGAAAAACACTAGCAGTGCGGCGGTGGGCAAATAATGTCAGTGACTATAAGAAAGGGACTGGGTTAACCTGAGAGGGAAAGCTTTTTAAATTAATTTAAAACCGTTAACTTGAAACTGGTCGTTCGCCACAAAGACCACCGAGTCAGCGACGGTGTGAGTGTCCGTCAGAGCAGCGAGTCGCTGCCGTTACTAGGCGCACGACTAACCGCTGAACCGTTGGAGAAAATACTAGCTAGCTACTTCATTCCCCTGAGACAGCATGCTGCCATACAGTGGCGTTATTTGTCCTCTGAATAGTAATTTTTTTTTTTTAAATCATCTTGTTTAATCGACTTGGTGATAACTGTTTTGGAAACTTAGTCGTGGCCTTTGAGCGGATTCGCTGTGGACGTTAAATTCAGCTAGCAGCCCAGCTAATACAACTATCTCAAGTTCCGGTGCAAACAAACCTCAACTGCTGTGATTTTGCAGCTGTTCACTTTTAACCTCACTGCATTTAATAACACAGAGTAGTTTTCCATGTGTTTACGCAAGTCTATCTGTCAGTAGTATTTGCCATCTGAGGCAGTGTTTGGCCTGTAGGCATCAGGCAACAGCCATAGTGCCAGTTATGGTTGCATAATCCAAGCTAATGGTCATCTATGTGCTCTTGAGAGTTGGTTTGGGGAGCTTTGTAGATGACATGTCTTTTGGGTTTACCTCATCGTTTGGCCTCTGGAGGTGGATTTTATGAAGAGCTCCCATCCAAATGCCACCTTGAATAGTCATCACAAGTGAGGAATTTAAAAATGAATTTGTCACTGATGAGAAAGCCAGATCAGATGATATCAAACTATGTCCCCTTAGACTTAGTTAGACTTTATAATACCCATCATTTTATTCTCTGGTCTGACTTGGCATGACTCCAGCCTGGTATGACTGACTGTCCATGCTGGATTTGAAACATACACTGGACATTTGATCAGGGTTTTTACCTGTAGCAGGGGAATACGATATCTCACTACATCTTCAGGTGGTATTAAAACCCAGGGAGGTTGATTGGGTAGGCCGATCCAACAGGCTCCCACGCAAAGACGAGCTCTCATGTGCAGAGACTTCCCAGATGTAGGTTACTATATGCTTTCAGAAAGTATTAGTCTCTCCCTGATGGCAGCCCAGCAGCCTGTCTCCTTTTGCAGGTTTTTTTCTGTCTTGTGGTGGTTAAATGTAGATCAAAACATACGGGAGAAAAGAAGCTCATAATAGCTTTTGACACTTGCTGTGAAGCAAAGCAGCTCTTTGTAACTGGAGGACGGCTACTCTCTTCTTTACCTTCTTCAAGTCTCAACAGATTTACCTTGTCAATGAAATTATTACTGTTTTTTTTTTTTTCTCCTTATGTTTTTGAGGGAGTGTGACCTTTTTGGAGCAAACCTGTGGCATGTTATTTTACATGTTTTCAGGGAATTACAATAATAAAAATAAAAACTTACTGGAGGAGGGTAGGACAACTCCCAGTCAGGGCGTTAAACATTACACAGTTATGTGTCACTCAGTCATGCGATTATGTTGTTAGAAAGTGATGTCAATCTATTCTTAAAGAGAGGAAGTGATTATTTGAGGTTTCCTGTGTTCACCCTGAAGTAGATGGCGTCTGGAGCACAGCAGTGTTGGTTACAGATCTAAAAACGCTATTTTTCAGGATGTGAGTCCTGGGAAGTTTGGAGTCCTGGGAAGTTTGGAGCACTGGGGGGGGGGCAGTAAAGAAACTTATGTTTTGTCATTATCACTTTCAAAAAGATAACCGTTTTCTCCTAATCCAAAACCCCCAGTGAATCATGCAGCACTTTTAAATGTAACTATTATTTTCCTTATTGCTTTTTTTTTTTTTTTTTCATGAAATGTCAGAAAGTAGTAAAATATTCCCATTATAATTTCCCAGAGCCCAAGGGAATATAGTCAAGTTGCTTGTTTTATTGACCAAAAGTCCAAAACAGGATTGCAACTAACAAATGTTTTCATTATCGATTAATCTGAAGATTATTTTCTCAAATTGATTTATCGTTTAGTTTATAACATGTTAAATTTTGAAGATGTCTTCAATTTGTCTGTTTGTTAAACATGTAAGAAGTTGAAACCAGAGAAAACTTGACCTTTTCCCTTAAAGTAATGGATCAATATTTGCATATTAAGTTTCTGTTGATCGACTAATCAATAAATCAACTAAATGTTACAGATTTAGTGAAAAAATTAAATATACTTTGTTTATGATCGTTCGCGTATGTGTGTGTGTCTGTGTGTGGATTTGCTGCTTTTCTTTTGCTGAGCAAATCCACACATTTA